TCATAAAACAAAATTAAATTTAAAAAATAAGCTCTACAAAATTGAAAGCAAATAAGGCAAATAAGCCTAGGTGTATATCAAGTTGATGAAATAACCATCCATAGGTGAATTCTTTCAAGGGATTTGAAAGCACAGAACTGTAAATACTAAATAAATAAAATCTTAAACTGTGTTCAGTACCCACATTGCTGGAAACAATATTGGCCTTGTTGTTCTCAAGTTATATAGCTCCATAAAGCAAATAGTGTAAGATAAATTCTAGCCAAAATAAGCAGGCGAAGAGAGGCAACAAAGGGCCAGGTAGTTTATTTGAGCACAATTCCCAGGCGAGGTTTCTCAGTCCACAGAAATGGAGGCTGGGAAAGTCACGCCCAGCAGGGCAGGCAGCAAGTTTTTAAAGAAGGTAGGGGGAGGCAGAGCTTAGATTTACAGCGGCGTGAGGATTGGCTAACCTAAGGCACATTTTTCAGTTTGGGAGGGGGCCGCAGCTGGGGACTTGGGCACGTCATCAGTGTCTGATGTGCTCACTCCTCTCCCCAGTGCCTTCAACCTTACAAATAGTATTATTTTAAAAGTCAGTAGGAACCAACATTTTCAGCAAAAGAGAAGAGATGCAAATTTTTTAAATCAAAGGAGTTTAGATATGCTAAATATGAATTGAGAATATCAATGAATTGTGATGTATGTTCTCTGAAAGAAACAAAAAGGGTATCCCCAGACCCATACTATGGACTTGCCATGTCCACATTAAGAAGTCTCCATTAATTTGAGTCATTGATCCCTGGAGAAATGTCTGATTCTAGAACAGAGGCAGGAAATGTACAAAATGAGCGTGGAGCACCTTGCCATTCCAGAATACATGAGGTCACTAAAGACCACTGAGATTGTGCCAGTGGGGCCGCAGAGCCAACCTGAAAAGGCTCTCACTGGCCAAGACGGGGCAATTAGGGCAGCAAAAGTCGTAACAACTGCAGTGGATTAAACACATTAAGTATGTTCATAATGATACTGAAAAAAAACTTATTGATCATCTTTGGGAGATTTTAAGAAACCAACTCATTATTCTAAAAACTGATAAACAGAGACTTGAACATTTCTCCTTCCTCTCCTGTACTTTAAATCGTACCTTGTGATAACCATATACTGATGAGAAGTCTTTCTTTATTTAAGTATTTCAGGTAAAAATAAAATAAAGAAGAAATTGAAGACTATTTCTATTTTGCAACCTCTAATCAATCAGGTAGTGTATGCCTCTTGATGACAAATGACCCACCTAGATAAACTCAAAACCTGAGCCTGATCAGGCCCCTGGGTCTAACTGCTAGTTTGTAAGAACTGTAGGGGACAGGTGGGCCTGATAAATAGCTCACAGCATTGCAGTCAGCCAAGTCTAGAATGTGAGAAACTCTACAGGACAAATGACCTAGTTCAATGAATAAGTTCCAAGGAAAAGGGGAGAGAGAAGAGAGAAAGGTTAAAAGACGCTAAAGAAGATGGGCATGGGGAGGATGAAAAAGCCCCACAGATGGCCATAGGGCGGTGTGCAGCTCTGTGACCCCACTAACAGCCAGCCACGTGGACGCTTGAAAGGAATGGGTGGCTTGGTCCATGAGTCACAGTTCAGTAAACGTAAAGACCTGTGTGTAGAGAGACAGATGATGGTAGAGATAGACAGGTGGCAGATACAGGAGAAAAGACATATCAACCATGGACTTTAGTCAAATTCTGACACAAACTAAAAATTTTATGAAGCTATTGGATTATTGATGATATCAAGGAATTGTGAGGTCTTTTTAGATGTGATAATGGCATTGAGCCTTTTTTTTCATTCCTGATATTTTAATGATAGAAATCAAAATATTTACCAATGAAATTATACCTGGGATTTGCTTCAAAATGAGTTAGTTGAGGGGCTGAGGAGGCTGCAGAGGAAACAGATCCTCCTGGGTTGGTAGTTGCTGAGGCTGAGGCATGGGTGTAGAAGTCTCATCAGACTAGCCCTGCTCTTTGAATAGAGAATTACATCATGAAGCTTTTTAGAGATACACAAGGGCATAGGCCTGACCCCAGAGATTTCTGGTCTCTGTGACAATGGCAGGGAGGCAGGCCTCATTCCAGACCCTTTCTTCAGTGATTCTCTAGACTATAGACCAAGTGTTTTAATGCAGCTCAGGATACTGTTTTCATGCAGCCTCCATCAAGAATTCCACTGGGGAAATCTCGAATCACACAACTGAGCCTTGATGAAAAAAACTCTTCCCCTGGGCAATGCTTTGGGTATTGCCTACTATATACACTCACTAAAAACACTAGTCCAGGCCCCAAGAGAAACTGGATAATAGCCTGTTATAAACTGGGTTAAGGATAATAATATTAATAAAGTTAGAAGTGATTAAATAAAAGCCATATATCACTAACCCACAGGGAACAGCTTATTCAATGGTGAAAACAGTGAAAAGCTGAAAGCTTGTCCTCTAAGACGAGGAACAAGACAAGGATGCCCACTCTCACCACTTTTATTCAACACAGTACTGGAGGTCCTAGCCAAAGTACTTAGGCAAGGAAAGGAAATAAAAGGCATCCAAGCTGGAAAGGAAAGAGCAAAACACTCTTTTTTGCCGATGACATGATATATACAGAAAACCCTAAAGACTACACACACACAAAACCTGTTAGAACTAGTAAGTCAATAAATTTGCAGGATAAAATATCAGTTTATAAAAATCATTTGTGTTTCTGTACACTGATAAACTATCAGAAAGAGAAATTAAGGAAATAATCTCATTTATAACTACATCAAAAGAATAAAATGCCTAGGAATAAATTAACTGAGCAGTTGAAAGACCTGTACTCTGAAAACTATAAGACACTGATGAAAGAAACTGAAGAAGACACAAATGAATGGAAAGATATTCCATGCCCATGGATTAGAAGAACTAGTATTGTTAAAATGCTCATACTACCCAAAGCAATCTATAGATTGAATGCAATCTTTATGAAAATTCCAATGGCATTTTTCACAGAAATAGAATAAACTAAAATTTGTATGGACCCATAAAAGACTCTGGATAGCCAAAGCAATCTTGAGAAAGAACAAAGCCAAAGGCAGCATGTGTCCTGGTTTCAAACTATATTACAAAGCAAGAGTAATCAAAACAGTATGGTACTGGCATAAAACAGATCAAGGGAACAGATTAGAGAGCCCAGGAACAAACTCATTCATACATGGTCAATTGAATTGACAACAAAGGAGGCAAGAATATATAATGGGGAAAGGATAGTCTTTTTAATAAGTGCTCTTGGAAAAAACCAGACAGCCACACGTAAAAGAATCAATAGGACCCCTGCTTTACACCATATAAAAAATCAAGTCAAAATAGATTAAAGAATTGGATGTAAGACTTAAAAGCATAAATTCCTGGAAGAAAATGTAGTAGGTAAGTTCCTTGACATCAATCTTGGCAATGATTTTTTGGATTTGATATCAAAAGCAAAAATAAACAAATGGCACTACACAAAAACCAAAAACCTTGTGCATAGCAAAAAGAAATCATCAACAAAATGAAATTTCTCCCTACAGAATAGGAGAAAATATTTGAAAGTCATATATCTGATAAGGAGTTAATATCCAAAGTACATAAAGAACCTAATAGCAGCAAAACAATCTGATTTTTTTAAATGGACAGAGGAACCAAATAGACATTTTTCCAAAGAAGATCTACAAATGGCCACTATGTACATGAAAAGGTGCTCAACATCACTAATCATAAGGGAAAGGCAAATCAAAACCACAATAAAATACCACCTCACACCTGTTAGAATGAATGGGTATCATCAAAAAGACAACAGATTCAGGTGTTGGTGAGGATGTGGAGAAAAAGAAACCCTTGTGCACTGTTGCTGGAAATGTAAATTGGTGCAGCCACTATGAAAAACAGTGTGGAGGATCCTCAAAAAATTACAAATGGAACTACCATACAATCCAGCAATTCTACTCCTGGGTATTTATCCAAAGAAAATAAAAACAGAATATCAAAAAGATGCTGTACCCCCATGTTCACTGAAGCATCATTCACAACAGCCAAGATATAGAAACAATATGTCAGCAATGGATGAAAGAAGGATTAAAAGGATATGATACATATACAATGGAATATTATTCAATGATAAAAAAAGGTTGAAATCCTGCCTCTTGTGACAACATGGATGGACCTTGAGGGCATTACGCTGAGTGACATAAGCCAGGCAGAGAAAGACAAATGCTGCATGAGCTCACTGGTATGTGGAATCTAAACAAACAAACAAACAAACAAACAAACAAAAAGCCAAACTCACAGAAACAGAGTAGAAAAATAGTTGCTAGGGGCCCTTGGAGGTTGGTGGTGAAGTCAGTAAAAAGGCACAAACTTTCAGCTATAAAATGATGAAGGTCTGAGGGTCTGGTGTATAGCATGGTGAATATAGTGGATACCACTGTATTGTATAATTGCAATTAACTAAGAGAAAACTTTAATGTTATCACAAAAAAAGATAAATATGTGAGATGATGAGTGTATTAATTAACTAAAAGAGGAATCCTTTCACAATGTACATATATATCAAATCACTGTGTACACTTTAAATATCTAATAATTTTATGTCATCTATACCAGAAAGCTGAAATATTTAAACAAAAACAGAAAAACAAGTGTTGACTCCCACCCTATGCCATCACCATAGCAGTGTGACTTTGAGAACATGAGAAAAATAAGTTACACTCCAGAACCCTGGGGTTCTGGAGTGGGTGTGGACAGGGTGTGCTCCTCCCCCTTCCACATCAGTAATAAAGTATATCTGTGAAAAGAGCTTTCAGCAGATGGGCAGTGGGTATGCATGAATCCCCTCAAGAGAGCACCCTGCCTGTCCCCTGCCCAGTCTGATGGGGCAGGGTGCTAAGAGGGCCATGGTCCGGCACCTGCCACTGCCCCATGGTGATGGCACCTGCTCTGTCTGCCTCGCAGGAAGTCCGAGCACGTGGTGGACATGGCCTTCCTGGGCACCCGGGCCGGCCTCCTCAGAAGCAGCTTGTTTGTGGGCTCCGAGAAGGTCTCTGACAGGTGAGTTCCGCTGGGCACCCTGGAGCAGATCCCTGCAGGGGGGTAGTAGGGGTCTGCAGGCTGGGGTCCGGTGCCACTAGCAGAGCAGGGAGGGTGGTCAGTCAGAGACGAGGGAGGCTGAGACCTGGAGGTTGGAAGGGTTAATCAGAGATTCACTTCCATAGAAGGAAACCTGGGAACTGTCTCCCCCAACCCCCAGAGACAGTCTCTATGTGACAGGATAAATCTTTGGCTGTGTCCCCTCCCCAACCTATAAGCAAGCAACTCTCCTCAATGGGGGGGGGGAGGGGGGGGGGCAATTTGCCCCCACTTCCCCCATCAGGGCATTTGGCTGTGTTCCCATCCACCCCCCAGGGCATTTGGCTGTGTCCCCATCCCCTCCCCACCAGGGCATTTGGCAGTACCCGGTGACATTTTTAATTGTCACAACTGGGAAGGGGTGTTTGCTCCTGGCACTGAGTGGGTGGAGGCCAGGGGGCTGCTATGGTGCCAAAGATGCCCCCCAACAGGTGTCTGGGAGCTAATGCCAACAGTGCTGATGCTGAGAAATCCTGCTCCAAGCACAGCCCAATTCTTGGGGGGTGCTGTGGTGCCCAGGGACCAGCAGCCAGGGGCCCTCCCCCAGAAGTGAGGAGACAAGGTCCCCGGAGAAGGGGGCCCTGCAAACCATGAGACTCAAATAGGCAGGGGCCACCAGGCACCTGGGGCAGGGCAGCAAGTGGCTCCGGAGCAGACCTGGCACACCCGCCCCTGCCTCCTGCCTCCTGCCTGTCTGCTGCACCTCGTACCAAACCAGGCACCCAGCCTCAGAGGCCATCACCTATGTCCTCCAGGACCAGCAGGCCCACGCTTGCTGGAGAGCTGAGGCTTTCTAGGAAAGATGTGTTGCTCTTCCTTCCCCTCCTCCCCTCCTTCCTGGAGAGACAGAGACAGGAGGCACTCAACTCAGCCTTTCCATGGTCCCACTGCGGCTGCAGCCACGACCCAGGTGGGCCAGATCTGCTCATAAGCTGTGGCCTCACCCTAAGGCCTTGAACTGCCCCCAAGCCCACTGTCCCTTCCAGCACGCCACACACTCATGCTTCCTTAAACTCCCACCCTCAGTCAGAAAATTGCACGTCCCTGTCTCTGGCCAAGACCAGACAGGGTGAAACCATGACACGGGTGCGGGGCGTTCTCAGCACTCCCCTGCCCCTTCTAAGACCTTCTAAGGATGGAAGAGGGAAAGCTCCACACAGACAGACCTTCCTGAGTACCAACCAGCCACCACAAATAGGCGCATACACTCGGCACCTAGGCCGCGATGCGACCTGCAGCCCAGGAAGTGTGCAACGGGGCTGGCCGGCTTCTGAAACACGTCAGCCAAGCACCCTTAAAGTCAAACCACCTTGTGGGGTGCCCACAGTAGCTTTTTGAACCCACCACCAGCTCCTCCCTGCCTCCCGCTCTGCTTCACCCCTCGGCTAGTGCGTGCTCAGAGAATGCAAAACCATAATTGGCAAGGTTAAACTGCCCAAAACAGAAAACTGATCATGCAGTCTAAATCCTAGGGTGATGACTTTTAAAGTAACCATTTGGGGGAAGTTTTGCCCCTCCGTTGGTGCAGTGATAGAGTGGGCTACACAGTTTTCTCACTCAGACATGGTAGTTAAGAAGACAGAAGGAAATTAGGCTACATCCAGAGAAAGAAACCAGCAGGCAAAGGAGTTTGCGTGAAAAGGGAAGTACCCTCTGAGCACACAGGCCCTCTTCCTCTTCTGGCTGTGCGTGTGCCATCGGATGCAGCAGCGTTTGATTGTGGAGAAGGCAAAGATTGCTGGGAACCTTGTCTGGGGCAATATCAGTTTAGGGGCTAGTATTTCCTACCTGCTCTCCCAAAGCACAGGGTGATCTCTGCCTAGTCCCAGACAAGGTGACCTTGTATGAAGAAGCAAACGGATTTGGGGGGAGCTTCCAACTCTTTTCTGTTTGCAGGAAGTTCCTGACTCCTGAAGATGAGGCCAGCATTTTCACCGTGGACCGCTTCCCTCTGTGGTACCGCCGGGCCGCGGAGCAGCCTGCAGGCAGCTTTGTCTTCAGCCTGCGCCCTGCAGAGGGACCAGGTAGCCTACCTGGCAGTGCTGCTGGGGCCTGAGCCAGGACCTCCCTCTCCTTCACAGGGGAACAGGAGGAGGTGTGGAACAGGACTGCCCGCCTCCAGGTCCCCTCCTACCTTCCCTCCTGATGCATGGAGGAGCTTGAGGAAGCTGGCCCCTGCCTTGGCCACCCCGGCCTCTGCCCTGAATACAGGGGGTCATTTTATTCCCTAGTCAGCAGTCAGACATGGAACTTAAAGATCCAGCATGGAATGAGAGGTTTGATCATAAGTCAAGAAGAACTGGATTCTAGCTCCAGTCCCAAATAGGAAGATCCTGGAAGAGTCCATCTCTAAGATTCTCCTATTTCTAAATATTTGAGTGTCTTTGAAAGTTTTTTCAACCACCCAGATAAAAGTAACAGACTTCACTCCGCCAGGGGACCGCAGTGCTCACGGAGCCCACCTCCTGCCGGGGCTTTTCCTACCCAGAAGAAGGAGGCTGGCCTTCACTCTGTGGAGTCTCCCAGGGGCAGGAACCCCTGGGGGTGACTGGGCCCTCCCAGCTTGAAGGGTAGGCGACAGGGCAGCTGAGACTGGGCCCCATGGACAAAGCCAGCAAATCCAAGGGCCTAGAAGGGCTTCAGAGCTGCTGGCACCACCTATATAGCCCAGCCCCTACTTTGAAAAATGACCCAAAAAAGAAAAATTAAGTGACTTTAACAGTGCACAAAGAAGATCACAAAAAATAACAGAAAGGCCCCCTTAGGGTGCCTAGCCTCAGCCTCTTAGAGAGACTGTGGCCTGGGAAGGTTGAGGGACTCCACAACAGAGCAAACCCTCCACCCGGCACCTGGACAGGGGGCCGGACCCTGCCTTGCAGAAGGGAGGGTCCAGAGAGCATCTTCATCCAGGAAGGAGTGAGCAGGGAGTGGGGGACGGGGGCCTGGAAGGGGGGCTGGGCGCCTCCTTGGAATGGAGAGCTGAGCTTCCTCTTCAGATGCTCCCCACCCAGAACCCCTCCAGCTACCACTTCTGCCCCTCCCTGTAGTTGACCAAGCAATGTCCCAGGCTACAGCTGGGGAGGCCCTGGGGCTACAAGAGCAGGAAGGAGGTTTCCTCTGTGCCCTCTCCATGCCTCTTCTGCCTGTGTTTAAGCCCACCTCTCCATCCTATGCTTGTCCCCAGACCCAATGCATCAGTACTGCGCTTTACAAAAGATTTCCACATGTAGCTCGTTCACACAACCACGCAACTCTGTAAGGGTTGTTATCACCCCTCTTCTTACATGGGGAGAATCTGAGGTTCAGAGAGGTCCAGGCTAAGACCCAGGTCTGCCCAGCAGAGTCCAGGCCCTTTCACTGCCCAGAGGCCCTGAGTGTAGGCAGGAAGGCGAGGGTGTGAGCGCTGTCATCCCTGGGAAAGCCACTTGGGAGATTCTCAAAGCCAGGGTGACACTCCCCTCCCCACGCTGCCCACCCTGAGCCAGAAAGAGGCAGCTCCTCCTTCCTGGCACCATCTGTGGTGGCACCGGGGGTCCCCGAGGAGGAGCTCCCACGGGGTGGTCTCTGGGGCAAGGCCCTGGCCCCTGCCGCCAGCCCACGGGGATGGGCTCCTTCCTGCTGCACTGCCCCCGGGACCAAGACTACTGGCTGCCAGGGAGCTTTTTGTGGCTGCGAGGTAGGAGGGCAGGTGGGTGGGGAGCAGAGCTGCAAGGAGAAGAGAGGAAAGCTGGCACCCCAGGAAGGGGTGGTTGGCTGGGGAGGCAGGAGCAGGCTGTCTTCACACTCTCGCTGGCTGGCTTAGCTCATGCGCATGCTTAGACATGCAGACACCTCTGCACACTCCCATTCCCCCCGCAGAGAAAAGCAACTACAGTAATTTCATTCTGCTTGGGTTGGGGTGGGGGGACTCGGCCGAGGATTCCCCTGCCTCCCTGGGCTGACCCTGCTGCCCTTTGCCTGGGGCCTGGTGGGCTAAATTCTGCCCACACAGAGCTGTCTCTTGCAGTCAGCACCTGAGAAACCTGCCAGGGTAGAGCAGAGCCTCACCAATGCCCACGTGGCTCAGGCCTTTTACACCCACCTCCACAGCCCACCTCTTCCTGGGCCGAGCCCTGGCCCTGCCCACCAGCACGTGGGAGCTTGCGCACTCACCTCAGGTGCTGGACCTGGCAGCTGCTAGGTGATCCAGGCACTGAAATTCCTGATCACCCCAGAGACTGTGGCACTGGGGCCCTACACCTCCACCTGGTTGTTTCCTACAAGCCTATGGAGCACACTTAGAATGGGAGGTCTGTCCTGGGAAGCAGCCTGCAGCCCTGGAGAACACTGCAGGGGGTCAGCTACATCAGTGTCTTCTACACGTTTCTAGAAGCAAGGTGAGGAGTCCCACTTCTCTTCCTACTGCAGTCCCCCGCAGCTTCATCGTGGCGAATTCCTAGAGTCAAGGACGACTTTGCACATTGTAAACTCCTAGAACAGAGTAATTTTAGATTTCTGTGAGGTATATGATTACAGAAAGTCAAGATGGGTAATCTTAGCAAAAGAGCAGATACAAGAAACCAGTAGTTAATTTAGTTTCATTACAACTGACACTGTAATAATAATCTCCACCACACATGAGTCTTCTGACCTGTTTGTTTCAAGCAACATTTGGCATAAAGACATTCTCGTGATAAAATTTTGCCCCTTTCTTAGAATTTTTAGTAGTGGAAGTTGACCCATATCCCAGAATGCTTTGGAAAGTTAGTGTAGGTCTGTGGACCTAGAGAATTAAGAAGCCTGCATCACCTTTGAGCCAGAGAGCTCAAGGTTTTAATGCAGAGCTGAAATTGCCGCCTGAATTCTATGCCTATGGTGGCCTGGTGCTCCTAGAAGAGGTGGAAGAGGCAACTCCTGGCAAGCCCCTTACCCTCCAGGAGCCTGGCAGAGCATCCCATGAGGGCAGAAACCAGCTGTAAAGCAAGTGGAAGGCTTGGTGGGTAATGGTGCTGGGGGTGGCAGGTCAGCCAGTGACTGGCACTCAGGGAGCACCTCAGTGCCCCGTGTGGCCCTGGCATCTGGCTTCCTGGAAAGGCTGTCAGTATCTCCCTGACGCATGTGGCTGATGAGGGACAACCCGGGATCAGCCTCCACCAAGTCCTGAAACATAGCCTGTCCTTCTGCTAGGAAGTTTGATGTAAAACAAGTCTGGTGCTCTAGTGCAACACATGCCAGTAGGACAGGTCACAGCAGGGTCTCCAAGCTCCAGTGAGGCGGCAGCAAGCACACAGTTCTGCTGCCCTGAGACAGGGCAAACCCACCATGTCCTGGTGACGTGAACAGCACCGCATTGCGCAGGTGGCAGAGGCCATGATGTATTCATCTGGCAGGTTCAGATGTGCACAGGGAGTCAGGCAGTGACCCTGGTTGACAGTGCCACAACGACACCTTGCCCGAACCCCCGCCCCCCCTTCTCAAGGACTGTCCTCGCCTGGGCTTATGGTCTTCTCATCCTGCCCAGCCACAGCACTTTCCTCCCCAGGTGTGGAGAAAGTGACTTGGCCATTTTCGTTTCCCCAGGAAGTCCGGGCAAGCCAGTGGCAGTGACTGCAAGCACAGCCATAGCCGTGACCGTGGACAAGAAAACAGCCATTGTCGCAGGTAGGAGCCTCCCTTCCCTCTGTGCCCCTGAGGCCAGGCAGGGTCAAGTCAAGGTCAAGATAAGGCACCCAGCAACAATAGGATCCCCTGCCCATGGTCTGCAGGGGTACCACCCTCTGGCTCTGATCTTCCAGGGGAAATGTGGGATGGGAGGATGGAGTCTTCCCAAGCATTTGTTTATAAAACATAAAATGAGAAGTAAGTAAAAGAAGCCGAGAGAGGTGAAGAGATGTGCTCAAGGTCACACAGGCCAGATACTCCTTTCACCCTCTGTTCGCTGCTTCCTTCCTCTGTTGCCTCGGGTCTGGTACCCCCTGCAGAGACAACTGGCCTGTGCCTGAGATCCTAAAGGAGCAGCCCAGCATGTGTGCCCAACACCTGCCAGCACCCCGGGCATGGCTAGCCCTCAGGGCGATCCATGAGAGGGGCTTCCTTTGGCAGATGAGGAAACTGAGACACGGCAAAGTTATTTGCCCAAAGTCCCACAGCCAATAATGAAGCCTGGATGTGAACTCAGATGGCCTCTCTTCAAGGCCCAACCACTACCCTGTGTAGCGGTTGGCCTCAAATGTGATGAGAGCACCCAGTGCTCTGAAAGTGGGGCAGACCAACGGGCACTCAGGCACTGGCCAGCGCGGATCCTTGCATCAGGCCCCATCTTACACCCCAGCCCCTGGCCAGTCAGCAGCTGGAGTGGGTGGGGTAGGCAGGGGGAGGGCAACTCCCCCATCTGGGGCTGAATCCAGGGGCAGAGCAGGTGGGAGGGGCAAGCTGGGCTTGGGCAGAGACTGTCCCACCCTCTTCCTGCCTCTGAGAGGGAGGGCGCAGGGCATCTGCTTTTCACCTCTGAATAAGAGGTGGGGGGAGAAATGACTTTGCTCAGTACCTTTGCTGGGCAACACTTGGGTCACTGGTTATCAGGATGCACAGCTGCTGCATTTGGAAAGGACCTGTGCCATCTCAGCCGCCTTTTTAAACGGAGCCCATGGCATGCTAATTCCAGGCCCATTTCTAGGCCAAATTTTGACCCCAAACTGGTTCCACTAAAGTCTGTTCTATGGTCCCAGCTGCGTCTGTGCCTGTCTGCTCCTCGGTGGTGTGAGCACTCTCTGCTCCCGCATACCTGAAAGAAAGCTAGGAAAGAAAAGGAACACAAGGTCAGGCTGCTGGCTGCGCTCTCCTGCACTCTGCAATTATTTGATATCATTTTTAATTCGTAGCTGAACTAGAGCTATAAGGGGTTGCCATAGAAACTGTGTCCTGGTGCCTCTGGTTAAACTCACTGCAGACAGTCGCTCTGCACTCTGGGGAGAGTGGATGCGACAGGGAAAAGACGAGATGCTGGAGACTTTATGCTTCAATTTTTTTGGAGGATGTCTCCTTTTCTAATTTCCTCTTCCTGGCCTGGGGCTCAGCCTCCCTGATTCTGGGCCCAGTGGGGCCCAGGGCAGGAAAGCAGCATGTGTCTGGGAGTTTCATCCCCTGGAAACTGAGGCCTGTGTGCCTGTGCACTCCAGGACTGGGTGAGCTGGTGTCTGGTGGGCAGGCTGCAAGTGTGATTTGTGCACTGAGCAAGGGCAGAAGGTAGGAGACAGGCACCTGGACAGCTCCAAGAACCAGCCATGTGTCAGATGCGTGTATGACACCACGGGTTCATACGGAAGGGCAGATGGATGAGGAGGGATCATTTTCTTCCCTAAGCAGGTAATTTATCCACAGTTTATGCCAAATTTCTAGAACTCTTTTTGGTCAGGATCCATTTTCATTTCTCATGCGCTCCAGACCTTGTTAAGGAATGTCACCAAGCAGAGGTGGTGCTGTAACCTGCACAAGTGTATCTCTAGCACACATACTGTAATACACACGTGCCCTGCACATAGGGGGGTCTCCCGTCTGGAGCTGCGTGAGGGCCCCTCTCCTTAGAACTCTGCCTAGGTGCCATCGGGCCCAGCCGACAGAACACGTGTGCACCCAGAAGGGTGACTTGAATAACGCATCTCTGAATTACCCAGCCCTGTACCAGGCTCCGGGGAGGTCCTGTCCCCTGCTTCTGCAGCAGGCCTTGGGGAAGACTTGCCTCTCAGGTCTGTTCTAACTGTTGTGGCTACAAAGGGCAGCACCCCCCAGTTATCAGCACCTATGAAGGGTGAATCACCGAGTTCTGCTGGGAGTCCAGCTGAACTCCAGGAATGGGGACCCTGGGGGTTCACTTCTCCCTGGAACTTGCTCACTCAAAGGAAGACTCCTGGGAAGGGAAAATTCAGTCTTGGTCTCTGAAGACTGCTGACTCAAGTAGCCCAGTCCTGGTCAGCCAGCGGCAAGTCCAGCCCCATGGGTGGGCCGGTCAGCCCTGCCCTCTCACCACCTCCGCTCCTGGTTCCCCCACCCACAGCCCTCCAGTACATGATTCTGATTTCCCAGCTGCTAAGCCCCGAGGAGGGTCATATGCACAAGCCCAGTGTCATCTGCCTGTCCCTTGAGTCAGTCTGGAAAGCACAAGACAGTAACAGGTAAACAGGGGCTCCTCCTTCGTGTCGGCAGACCCCCCCACTCCTCAGGGCCGATAGAACCTGGTCAGCAGAGATGCCCCTGCACTGCTCATAGGGAGCCCTCCCCCCACCTCCCATACACAGTGGGGTCCTCTGGGCAAATGCATGCTTCCTACCACACAGGCCCACCTTGCCTGCCACGTGGATGCACTCAAGCCGGGTGAGCACCCACAGGGCACAGGGCAGTGACTGGCCTCCTGGTCACCCTCTCCACTCCGAGAGCCACACTGCCTCCTGCCAGGAAACCAGCCTGGGGCTCACACTCGGTGCTGTCAGGCCAGCAGTTGTGGGGGGGAGGGCCTTGCTGCACTCAGCTACAGATGTGCTCTGCAGAAGGCCCCGCCCGAGGCCTCCCACCTGTCTCGTGGAACTCTGACCTTTGGAGTGACACCCAGGAGCACTCTAGCAGCTGCCTGGGGAGGCACGGGGGCTGGAGGCTACTCTCCCAACACCCACATTCCCTCCCAACCCAAGGAAACCAGGAAGTGCATAGGAAAATACGGTCTTTATTGGTCTTCTGAAACAACAAACCAGAAATATAATTTTGCCTTTAAAAATCTTCTGTCTCCAGATGAAGATACCACCATTAACAAGACCCACTCCTCCCCATATTCCCTTTAGAAAATCCCTAGATCTGGTGTCAGTGAGCAAGCCAAAAGGCAGACTGCGCCGCCCCCTCCACCGGACCTTGGAGGTGTGGTTAACAGCCTGATAGGCAGCCTGTGCTTGGATCCCTACTGCCAGAGACCCACCTTCTCAGAGGCATCCCTGTCCCTCACCCAGTGCTCTCTTCCACGGGGTCACGGGTGCCGAGCGAGCGGGCTGCCCTGTGCTTCCTCAGACCCTGGCGCTCAGTGTTGTGCTGACCTCTTCCTGACCACTGAGACCACGCAGAGCCAGAAACCAGGCCCTCTGTAAGCCTTGGGAAAACCAGTGTCCAGCAGAGGGAGACCTAGTTCTCACCCAAGATGAGACCATAAAGAGGGGCAGACCCAGGATAAGCACCTGGGGACCCCCAAACCATGCGCAGTCCTCCTCCCCCACCACCTGCCACCGCCCTACAGGCAGGGACCTCTGCCCCTTGTGTAGGAACAGACAAGACCCCTGGCCCATGGTCTGATTTGGCCCCCAGCCCAGATGCAGTTACAAATTCTGGGAAGCCAGACCGAGCAGCTAAAACTCTGGGAAGGGGAACCCCACTAAGGAAGCCGCTGGGCTTCCTCTCTCTGCTCCTGGAGTCTGCTGGCAGGCAGTGAGCTTCAGCAGGGGCCACCTGCTTTCCCAAGACGACCCAGTCACAGAGCATGACCCCGTCCTTGCCCCAAAGTCACGGGCCCCGAGATGCTGAAGATGGAGGGGTGAGAGGTACAGAGCAACAGTTCTGGGCTGTGGGCTATGCAAGTGGAAGTGGCGTGTCCCTGTGGGGCCTGGCAGTGCTGCAGAAATGCCCAGTGTGACCGTCGCTCAGGAGCTTCCTGCTCCAGCTCCAAGGCCTCTGGGCCAGTATCCCTGGGAAACCAGCAGAATAGGTGAGAGGGTTACCGTGGCGCTGCGTGGTCCCCTCTGGGGTGAGAGAGGGTTCCTGTGGCACCGCGCAGTCCCCTCTGGGGTGAGAGAGGGTTCCCGAGGCACTGCGCCGTCCCCTCTGGGGTAAGAGAGGGTTCCCGAGGGGCTGTGCGGTCCCCTCTGGTGGCGCCACTCTGGCCCACTTTGGAAGACCGTGGAGGACTCCTGTGTTACTGTGCTGGGTTCCTCCCCGGGTTGACTTGAGAGGATTGCAGTGAGCCAGCCAAAGGGCCTCTGGTCTGCGGACAAGAGGCCCAGAGGAAGTGTGTCCTGCTCCCCGTGTCTTCAGGACCCATCTCCATGTGACTGAGAGTGCTTGTGCATGGGGTGAGAGATCTACTCAATCTGTGGGATTGCCCTGGTGTTGCTCCGTTTGTCCAAGAGCCTCTTAGTGAATCCAGAAGCGGTGTGGCCTGTGACCAATAGCACATCAGCCAAGGGCGTGCGTTGTAATTGCAGTGTTCTACGTGCAGAGTCCAAGTGACAGGGTTCATGTGGCTGCTCATTAGTCCCAGCAGGTGAAATCTGGACCCAACTTTCACACAGAAGGGCGGTTAGGAATATCTTCCCAGCTTAGAAGAGAGTCACAGAAACAGACTCCCTGGCACTTGTATCACTTCCTTCCCACTCCCTAAATGCAGGTGAGGGGGGCTCGAGCAAGACATGGGGGAGTTGCCTGTTGTGACTGCCACCAGGGCAGGGAGGGAGGCGGGGAGTGCTCAGTCCTGAAGCTTTTGCACACACATCCTGCTGCCCTCTAACAGCAAGCTTAGGGAGATTCCCCAGGTGTTCCCACCAAAGACTTGCTGGCCAAGCAGCCTCAGCAGGGGCCTTTAGCACAGGGCGGCTTTCTCAGAGACTTGGAAGGCCACAGAGAGTCACTCAGCACAGTGTGGCTTGCTTGCCGGAGGGCTGCGGAGGAAAGTGCGAATGGGGAGTGTGACAGGGGTGGGGGCGGGCCAGCCCTCCCTGTGGCAGGTCCCGTGTCTCTCCCTGCCCTCCTACCTGGCCAGGTGGGGCTGGCTGTTATGCCACAGAAGAGATCTGCTTCTTCTCTTCATGCTCACCCTCCGGGTCCCCCATCAGGGGCTGGCGCTTCTTGAGTTCCCGGTGGTACTTGGCCATGAGAGAGGCGTAGATGCAGCCATAGGCAGCAGCCACCACCATCATGATGCAGACAATGCCGCAGACGACCCCGGCGATGACCACTGTGCCGATGGCCCGCCGCACGCTCACCGGCCGGTGCCTCTGCTTCTGGGGGCAGGCTGTGCTGGGCTCCGGCTCCGGCTCCGCCCCTGGCTTGGGCTTAGCCAGTTCCGGGCTGGCCTTGGTACAGGGTGGCCCAGGAATATCCAGCCCAGCAGAGCTGTTCTCGTCCTCCAGCTGGGAGCAGTAGTTGAACATCTCCATGGGGACCACGCGCATGTCCTTCCCCCTCAGCTCCTTGGGCAGGGTACAGGCAAGCTGGTCCAGGCGTCCCCCTGCATCCAGGCGAGAAACAGGGAGGAGCTGACTGGACACCCCAAACTTGGACTTCTCTGCCTGGGCCCAGGTTTCCCACCACTGCCTCTGGATTGACTGAGTCACTCTCCCACAGACAAATAACATCACCTGCACAATAGCATCAATCAAAAAAAAAAATCACACACACACACAGAGTCACATGGAGACAGAGGTCATGAGGAGCAGGTCCCCAGGTGCCCATTCCAGGTCCAAGTGGCAGGCCCAGAAAGACTAGTTTCTATCCGCAACACAGTCAGTCCTGAAACCACATTTATGCGAGAGGAAGGGAGGAGGGAAACCAGCATTACGGAGCCAAGTACCACGGAGGAGAGGTACACATATCACATCATTTGATTGTCGTGAAGCCATGTAAAATGAATATTGTCGTCATTCCCATTTTACAGAAAAGCACATGACCATTTCAGTTAAGCCTGCTTTCTCCAGAGCCAAGCTGACCCTCTGGAGGGACTCGGGGAGGACGGTCAGCGCAGAGCAGGAGCCCCGCCTGGCCACAGACCCACTCCCGTCCTTGTCCCTGAATCTGCCTGCTCACCCCTTGTCTCTGAACAGCACTGTTCTCAACACGGTACCTCAATCATCCAGGGCTCTTCCCTCTCACAGAAAGGACAAAAGCCCAAAAGCCACCTCCGCAGCCACCGCTCTTCCCCACAAGACTTTATGGCTGTGACTGTGGCTGCCTAAGAGGGGATCAAAATGGTTAGGAGAGAATGTTTTCCTTTTTGCCTCTAACAGCAACCCGGGAGCCCCATCAGTGCCCTATCAGAGCAGCTCTGGGAGCACAGGGACTCTGCAGACCCTAGGGGAGGGGGAGGGGCTGGAGAGGGGGCGGGAGCCATGGGTGGGAAGTGGGAAATGTGGCAGGGAGAGAGAGGGTAGTTCAGAGCTGGCTGCCTGGACAGCCCCTGGGAAGTCACAGGCAGATTTGGTCCCTTTCAGCTTCCAGTGAAGTCTGGATGCAGACCACAGACCCCTGCCCAATGGTCTTGGCTCCTGCCGGTCCCTGCCGGTTCACTCTCCCAGCCCAGTCACCTCCCCATACTAGAGATATCAAGCTTTTCCTGGGATGTTGATGAAAACATCCCAGGATTTTTTTTTTTGAAGGAGTGCAAAGTTGAAAGCAACTCTACTTTCGGAATTGTAAATTCCAAAAATATGCATTCCCATTCCATGCCCTTTTGTGCTGAGAACTAGTTCCTGATGACTATATTTAAGGGCAAAAAACATTCCCTAGGGAAACACATAAGTCTGGGGCTGAAGATACATGGCCTCCAGTTTCCCTGTGCCGGTGACCTGTGGCAAGTCTTACATCCAGTGAAATGTGTCTGGGGCCACCTTTGTATAGGCGGGAGCTGGGTGTTGAAATGGGGCAACCTCACCATTCTGTACCAAAGACCTGAGGTTAAACCCTGGCTGTGTCATCTTGTACAAATTATTTAACTTATTTAAGTGCTTGCAAGTCTTAGTTTTCCTGACTGTAAAATAGGAATGGCTGTCTCAATTAGCTGCTATAAGGATTACAGTAAATAATGGACCTAAGGATCAAAGTAGGTAATGTAAAGTAGAAAAGATATTTGTAAACTGGTACTAATTTTATTATTTCTCCATTCACAGAAATGGGAGGAATTATCATATGACCAACACTTTAGGGCACTTTACAGTTTATGAAATGTTTTAAATTAACTAGCACTTGAGAATAGTGTGCAAAGAATTGAGATTGTGGCTGGAGATGAAACAAAAGGAGTAAGACTTTGATGAAGAACATTAAATTCTGCCCACAGATTCATTCATTCAGCCAATTTTCATTGAGTTGGGCACCAGAGTGTGTCTTATTAGGTCCATTTAATATTATGAGTCCTACTAGCAAATGAACAAATAAAATGAGTTGTTTTATTGAGAACTTACTTTATGCTGAGTACTTTCCAAGACACTTTACACGCATTACTGTTTAGTCCTCACAATGATTCTATGATACAGACGTTATTATTAGCCCCATTTTACAGACCAGGGCCCTGTCACAGAGAGGTTAACCAACTTTCTCAAGATCACACAGCTAGTAAATGGCAGAGCCATGAGTCAAACCCAGATCTGGCACTTCTAACCACTGTACTTACTTCTTTGCTCTCCTTTTCCATTTCAGTTAGTCATTTCTCAGATTATTAGAGAATTTTCCCAGGTTAACAAAGGGAAGAAGGGAAAGAACTTAAAGCCAAAGCCATCTGGCTTCTCATGAAAAGCTTTGGTAACAAAACTTCTTAGGAGAGAAACTTGAGATCATCAAAATGAAAATTTGGTTTTATCTGTGGATTTAAAGTATATTCCAGCCTCATGAAATGGTGGCTACTTAAGAGATGGTTGTACTGTTCAGAAGAGCAAGGGTGCCTTTTGTTCCTCCTCCGACCATGCCAGGGAAGCCCAAAGGCATACTGAGGGGAGCACAGAAAAATGATCCTGTCTTTAGTTCCCTCCTGAAACCTACAAAAGTGAGATCAAGTTACAGTGAGTCAGTCTGAAAGAAAAAGAAGGCTGGGCTGCGGGACGGGGTCACAGAGAGGAAGAGAGGAAAGGGGAGCCTCCTTAGTGCTTCTGCCCTATTGGTCAACCGGAGGTGAGGCTGGGACTCTTCCAGCCCTGCTGGTGGAGGGGCAGGGCCGCCCCTTCTCCCGTCAGTGCCCGGCCTCCAGGAAATGTGCTGTGCAAGGGATGAGCCTCCCAGTTACTCACCCCCCACCTGGGCTGGCTGTGCTCACCTCGGTAGGAGAACCACTCCATCCAGTGCTTGAAGTCACGCAGGTGACAGTCACACTCCCAGGGGTTGTCCCCAACCTGCAGCAGCTGCAGGCTCACCAGGGGTTCAAACGTCAGCCGGTCCAGGTTCTGCAGGCGGTTGGAGCGAAGTGATAGGGAGCGCAGAGCTGGGAGCGCATCGAAGAGGCCCGGGGGCAGCTGGGCCAGGCCGTTGATGGACAGGTCCAGGTGGCGCAGCCAGGGCGAGTGCTGCAGCAGGTCCCTGTCCAGGGTCCTGATGCTGTTGTTCCGCAGCTGCAGCTCCGTCAGGTTCACCAGGTCCCCGAAAATGGAGCCGGGCAGCTGGTCCAGGAAGTTATTGGAGAGGTCCAGTCGCTGCAGGCTGGACAGATTGGCAAATGCCCAGCTTGGCAGGGCACTCAGCTTATTGTTCAAAAGCAGGAGGGTTTGCGTGGCCACGGGCAAGTCGGGGGGCACCACGGTGAGGCCAAGGCCGCTGCAGTCCACCTCCAGGCTGCGGCTGTCACACTTACAGGAGAAAGGGCAGGCAGGCAGGGCCTCCACGGCCCACAGGGCGAGCCAGCAGGTGATCCCTGGCAAGGGGAGGCAGGAGTTGTGGGAGAGGCAGTGGGGGAAAGTGACAGGCCATAGTTACCTCCTGCTGCTCTATTCCTGCCTTTTCTGTTCATATCATAATGGTTTCTTTGCTTTATCTCCTTTGGCGTAAGCCACCATCAATGCACTGACCATATAGAAAGATAATTTAGAAACCCAAAGCACCTCTGTATTAGCGGACATCACACAGTGTCGTCAAGGCTCCTGGCCTCAGAGCACTTCTGCAAAGAAATCATTTTAGTGGAATGTGATCCTTGAGAATGGCAGGCCTGAGTCCAGGGGACAGGTAAACCTCATCCCCAAAGATGCCCAGCTCACAGGGCCTCCCTTGCTGATCTTCTTGTGGGCTTGGGCTCCACTGAAGCCATAGATGTTACCAACTAGAGGACAAAAGGATGTCAAAGAAGCCCACCACATGTTGCCCCAGGAGAAAGGTTTTCTTTCCAAAAGAAATGGCCACACTGGCCCTTTCTCCCCTCTATGACCCCACCCCCAGCCCAGTACTGTGCTAGGCTAAGACGGGAGGTCCGTGGAAGTGGGGAGCACAGAAGGGTGCTCCTTCCTTCCTCCCACAACTTCCCAAGTGCTGTCAGTTCTGCATGAATCCCACATCCAAGATAGGGCCAGTGACAGGTGAGGCAGGGATCCTGCCATCCCTAGGGCCCAACTCCAGAGGCCACTGTGGAAATGAAGAAGGCAAGATCCACAGTTTCACTTCCACATTGAAGAATACTTGGGTGTGAACAATTGCAAATCGTGGGCCCTGGACATGTTTCATATTTACTCTCATTCTAAAGCCATCCACGCCCTTAGCCTGGTTCCTGCTCCATTTCTGCAGGAAGAGCCCAACAGTCTTCCTTTCGTGGCCCTGTGTCTCCAGGCCGCCTCTGAGTAGCAAGCACACAGCCCAGCCTGGTGGGGGGCAGGTTTGGAGGGTCTCAGGGAATAATCACAGCAGAGCAGCTCAGTCCATTGTCCAACAGCCTGTTCTCAGTGACCACAAAGCCCCACCTGCCTTACCTGTCCTCTCAGAGAAGCCTGCTCATTGCACCACAGGGCAGAAATGACTCAGAAAAGTTTGTCCTCAAGTCAGGCCCATTAAACCCAGAGGAAGGGCCCCTGGGAGGGAAAGTCAGAGCCGGTCCCGGCCTGTTTGCCCCATCAGGGAGGAAGCAGCCACTCAGACCTGGGTGCTGGGATGGGGTGTCCCTGAGTCTGTGTCTGCTTGGTGTCTGGTTTTCTGGTGTTCCAAAGGGCAGAGCTAGAAGGAAGGGGATGGGACTCTCCCATTCCCCACTCCTCTGCTCCTGGGGGATCAGTGACAGCTGAGAGACACACTGCGTGGCTGACACCCGAGCCTCTTTGCTCTCGAGGGGAGAAACGAGCTCAGGTGTGGCCCTTGGAGATCCTCTGGCCATGGGCTGCGCGCCCCCCCCGGCCCCTCCGAGCCCATCTGTTGCCCAGCCAGCTGGCCCCACATTCCCACCTGCCCTCCCATTTGTAAATCAACATCCTTCAGACTTCACTTTCCCCAGGAAGAAATGCAGCCCACAGCTCCCCTCTTAAAAGTATCAACATAACTAGAAGCCACTATATGCCCCACCTCCGAAAGCTGGGGTGGCACAGAAGCCCCAGTGACAAGACACGTGATTCTGCATTGTGAGTTGTTGAGTGGCTCTAGAACGGGGTTGACGGGAGTCCGAGCTGCCCGGGCCCAGTCACTCTCATGTGGAGTAACCCAGGCTGTGCTGTTGCAGACAGCTGCATCCCAGGGAGCGAGTCAGGCCCGAGTCAGGCCGAGTGCCAGCCCTCACCCTTACCTCATGTGAAGAGAATGGTCAGGGTGTCTTCCACCCTGACCACCTCCAAAGTTTCCTGAAGGGAAACGGAGGCTGCGTCTCCTCACATGCAAGCAAGAGGGCTTGGGTCCCACCCCTCGGGTCCTCCCAGCACCAGTCCCCAAGAGCCCGCCAGTTCCTGTGCTTCAGATGGGGAAGACAGAGGCGTAAGGGTCTCCAGGTTCACCCAGACGATGGTCGAGGAAGACGAGAGGAGCTGGCCAGGAAAGCAACAGGACTGGACTGCCAGGACTGCTGGGTGGGGGTGGACTCCAAGGGGACAGGGACAGGCCTTCCAGGGAAACAGACTGCCTGCATGGCCCCTGGCTCCTGACCTGAGCCCCAAGCTCCCAGCAGCCACTCTAGCTGCCACAGGCCAGTCCCGTGGGGAAGACTCTGGGGGCAGGCAACCTGTGGTTTCCTGGCTTTGGGCCCCTCAGGGGACCCCAGACCCTCCTGCAGCCAGGCGACATCCCGCACACCGAGCTCGCCCTGCGGCCCCACCACCGTACTCACAGGAGATCTGCCTCCAGTGCAGGGCAAGCCTGGTCGTCTGCAGGGGGCTGCTGCCTGGGGCCAGCATGGTGAACGCAGCTCTCCCAGCCCTGCGCCTCTGCCTCCGGAGAGAGGAGCCCCTGGGCATGCACTGTCAGTCCTGGGAGAGGGAGAGAGCAGAGGGAGGGCTCTGAGCAGGGGCAGGCCTGCCGGGCTAGTTCCCCCACTCCCTCCGTTAGGGAGAGGGCATGATATCTCTTTACACTGGTTGCCCCTCCTTCCCCTGTGCTCAGCTATGACCCCCTGGGGCAGGGATGGGGCAGCTGGTTGATGGAGAGGAGGAGGCAGGAGGGGTCGGAGAAGCCTGAAAGCTTCTGTGATGGGCAGGGGCGAGGAGGGCAGACTTGGGCAGACCCAGGGGTTCTCAGGCCTAGGCCACAGAGCTAAGCTCTGGCTGTGGGACTAGGGGACCACCAGCGAGCTGCCTCTCAGGGTCCCCCTCACTCCCCTGTCCCTAGGCCCCTGCCTCTTCTGCTGTGTGGGTCTCAAACGTTTTGAGGACCACATGACCTCCTCTGTGTCTTGGCTTTCCCGTGTTACAGTGGGGAGGTTACAGGACATCTCTGCTTGGCCAGCAGAGTGAGCTCCGGACCCCCGGCAGTCCTTACCATGGCCCCGAGGAGGCAGAGCCCAGTGCAAGGCCCAGGCACCAACCCACTGCTCGCCCTCCGCCTCCGCCTGCGAGACCAGTCGTACACTCGCCTTCTGCCCGCCTGCCTGTAATAAGACACATCACTTGGGGTTCATGCAGCAGCCACTGTGCACATAGGGGACGGGGACATGGAGAGGTGAGGCTGGAGAACAGGAGGGCTGGAAGCAGGCTAGGGCTGCAGAGAGGTTTCTCTTCCATAGGAAACAAAAAAGGGAGACTCTCCATTTCCAGGGTCCTGACAGCTGGACTGCCCCAACCCCATGACTCATAGGTGGGGCTCAGGTCCCCCTCTGGTCCCCACTTCCTTGCAGGTGCAGCCGCAACCCTTAGCCAAGGCCAGAGCATTCACTTCCCTGGCCCCGTCAAGGGGTGGGAAGAGCTATGTGGCTGCCACCAGGCGGGCAGGCTGGGGTGGGGAATGGGAAGATAGGAAGAGGTCCCTGCCGACCTGCCCACCCCCGACTACCAAAGGGCACAATCCCATCAGCCCATTGCTCCTGCTGGCTCCCTGAGGTCCACCTTCCTTGGTTGCCAGATTCGCCCCTGGGTGCCTCGTGGTTGTCACCTGCCTTCCCCAGGCCACAGGCCTGTTAGTTCTGGGCACTGGAGAAGCAGCCGCAGTGAGGCAGGCAGCCGAGGAGGCAGAAGGGGCTGCTGGGGGCTGGCGTGCTCAGCTCTAACACTTGGCCTCTGGGAAAACAGGGCTGCCCACGGGCGTTCAGGGCGGCATCTCCCATCACCTGGCCCCAGGCTGCGTCTGTTCCCCAGTTGGTGGTGGCATGCAGCAGCCCCTGGACCTTCAGTGGGTCTCACAGCAAGAGCAGCCTGCTTGGAGGACCCAAAGCCCTGGCCTGTGGCATGGAGTGCTCAGGGCAGCTCAGGGGCTCCTGGCTGCTGGCCCCAGACAGCGCTCTGGGTTTGAATTCCCATCCAGCCACTGCCTGGCTGTGCAACCTTCAACTAACTGCATATGCTCTCTGGGCCTCAGTTACGTTCCTTATCTCTAAAAGTGATGACTGTAATACTTTATGGGTGGGATTTCCATGGTGATCAATGTAATTAAGGGAGGAGAGCTAGCAATTATTATATTTGGTACATATTACTTAAGAAGATTATCCAGGGTGGTGCGCTTAGCTTGACCTGGAGCCTGCGACCCCTGTGGGGGACACCAGTTCCCTTGCTCGGTGCAGAGGTAGGGCAGCACGTCTATGCAACATCTTATGTGCAGGCCCCACCACACTCACACACTAGTCATATCTCTGCTCCTGCGCCCACAGCCATGCTCCCCGGCCACACAGGCCCATGTGCTCACTGCAGGGCGTGCTCCCGCATGCAGCCACTGGCAGCCATCCCAGGCAGCTGTATCCATCCTGTGTGTCCCTAAGGCCCTGACCTCAGACCAATCTCCTACTCCAGCAAGAGCCCTCATCTCCAGCGGCCAGCACCCACACAACATTGGGCAGGTCACTGCTGCCAGAGGCAAGGAGACGATGACTAACTTGCCTGAGGTCACACGGTAGGTCAGGGACAGGTCACAGGCTTCTGAACCTGGCTGCTCATCCACTCCCTGGTGACTGTTGCCCAACAGTGGCCCTTGTGGGGAGACATGTATGTGTGTGCACAGAGCAGGGGCACACACAGGCTCCCGGACATGTGCTTGGGGCTCCCAACACAGCACATGGTGCAAACACACCCCCACAGAGAGCCATGCAGCGAGGCACGTGCTGACACGCGCACACGCGTGCACCCTGCTAGCCCTCTGGGAAGCCCTCCAGCACTCCTTGGATGCCGACACTCAGGCAGCAGAGTGAGATGCCTGGTGGTACTGAAAGCCCCCATCAGGCAGATGTAGAGAGACAACTCCAGCCTAGAAGTAAGGTCTGTCTAAAGAAAACCCCACAGGGCAGTTCCTAACCCAGGTCGTTTTGTGTGTGTACCCCCATATGGGGCAGGAGACTCATCCGAGCTTCTGCTCCTGCCCTTTCCATCTTCCTGCAGGGAAACAGGGATAGGATCCCCCAACCAAGCCCAGCCCTTCCCATCTGAGCCACCTCACCTCTTTCAAGAAGGCTCTCTTTTTCCATCCAGTCCCCTCCCAGCCTCACTTTCAACCCAGTATGAGCCCCAGGGTTGACCAGCAAGCATCAGTCAGTGGGGACAGTGGCCTTGAGTGCAGGACCTGACCCCCCATCCCCAGCCTTCAGTGATGTCACCTGTGCAAACCAAGTCAGGCAGGTTGCCAAGATGCAGACCCACAGGCAGTGTCTTTCAAGGTGGCAGACCCTGGAGCCTGGTATCTCTAGAGAAATGTGATGCAGACAACGCCCCCAGGTCTGTGGGAGGAAGAGAACTGTGATCCCTGGGGAGCTGCCCCTGCCTCTGTGGCGGCCACAGAAGTGACCCTAGAGGCAGTGACCCCGAGGGAGATACGGGACTATAGCCCCAGCACAGCTCCAACCAAGGGACCCCTCTCGGGCCCCTGCAAGTATCCAGCCTCCTTAGTTAAAGGGTGACCTACATCAGAAGCTCAGAGAGCAGCTGCTGCAGCAGGTGCTGGCCAGCTGCTGGAATGAACTGACGCCACCTGGAAGGGAAGCCCCCAGCCCAGGGTGGAGAATGGGGGACAGAAAAAGTTGAGGGGGTCCTGTCCCCGAGTCCCACCACCCGTGGGTTCTGAACGCTGGACCTGCCCCACTTGTCGTGTGGCTTTCTGTCATGGTCCCAGAGACAGAGGCCCCTGAGAGAAGGGGCGGCACCCCGCAGGGGCTCTGTCAAGAGGCTAGGATGGGAAGGTGGGGCTGGGGAGCCCAGAGCAGGGCAGGGGAACCCCCCCCCTGAGAACCAGAAGCATGGACTGTGGGCACTGTCCCTCTGCTACCTTCCCACTCGGAGGGCAGCATGGGCCTTACCCAGGAACTGCTCAGAAATGCAGAATCATGGGACCCCAGGCCAATCAATCAGAATCTGCTCTTTAGTAAGATCCCAGACAATTTGCATAGTCAAGTTTGAGAAGCAGAGCTAGATCATTTCTCTCCTAGTGCCTCCCAGGGGGCCATGTTGGTCGGGCTGTGGAAGCCTGGCATCAGCCAGGGAATGGCTGTGACCTGGGCAGAGGGGGTTCCTGAGATTAGCACCTTGCCCAAGATGCCTCTGTGGGGGAGAAGTGGTCGCCATAGCCCCGGACATCGGTACTGAGAGTTCTTAGTCCTCATATTCACTCTCTGAGGCCAGCATTATTATCAATACCCTTTGCGGATGGAAGAAACTGAGGCCCAGGATTAAGGAACTTGCCTCAGGTCAGGCCATGGAATCCAGGCCCAGGGGGTCTGGTGACAAAGCTACCAACTCGGCTGCCCTAGCAGGTTTGTAGGTCCATTCTGTTCGTGATTGCCTATACGCAGAGGGTCCTGGGGGAAGAGGCAGAAAAAGAGATGCAGCCTTTCGTTTGCACAGTACCTCACAGTCCACCAGGCATTTCCTCGGCCACTGTTTCCCTGGCTCCTTGTGATGAGGAGGCATGCTCTGCACAAGGCTGCACAGAGATGCAAGCCAGATCTTTCACCTAGCCACCCTTTTCCAGGAATTCCACAGATGCAGTGGGACAAGCCTCAGGAGGCCAAGATCTTATAAAGGGAGTGGAGGGGGCTTCCTAGAAACCCTCTGCTGGAGGGTAGGGTGCCGAGGTGAGGAGGGTGGGCTGGGAGCTCCGGGAAGCAGGGGACGGGAGGTGGTGATGGAGCAGGAGGTGGCAGTAAGAGCAGAGGGCTCCATGTGCTCCTGCTGAGCTGAGTGGGTACAGCAGCCCCTGGAGCCTGGGGTGGGCGCTGCTTCCCCTATGGGCCAGGAGCAGCCCTGGTCCCCGCACGTTAGGATGCTACAGAGTTGGCCTCTCTGTGCCTCTGCCCTGGCATTTCTCCCACAGATGGAGATGAACTGGAGTTGCCTCAGACTCCAGCTAGAAACCGCCAACATCCCTGTCAACAAGCCCAGCCAGTGTCCATCCCTTCCTCTGGTGCTTCTGTCGTGACCCAGTCGAGTGTCCAAGCTGCACAGCCAGTTAACACCCATGGTACTGGACCTGGGCATTTCTGACTCCTGGGACATTGGGCCGTCCCTGCCAGGTGCCCTCCCCTGGTTTCTTCCTTTGGTAAACAGTTCCTGACCGAGCCCAGGCCTCTGCACCCCCTCTGCAGCAAAGACTCAGAGAACTTAGAGGTAAAAAGGGATCTGCAGTCTCCTCTGCACCCCCTCATTCTGCAGAGAAAGGAAGGTCCCAGTGAGAGCAGGGCCACCATTGTGGCTGCCTCTTGGGGCTGTAAGGACAGTGTCCTCCCCACACCAGGAGGGCAGAGAGAGGGGCCTGGTCAGCAGGGCGGCCTGAGCGGAGCCCTGTGGGTTGGGGACATGCATGCCCCATGCTCACCCCTAACCTCCTGCGCCCTGGTCTCCTTGTCATATGCTCCCAGTCCCAAGCAGACCAAGCAGAATGGAAAAGGCCCCTGAGCCACTCCTCCCCAGGCCACCCTCGGGTACAAGTGAGCCAGGTGCTGCCTGGGCTGGGGCCGGAATGGAAGCAAAGGGGCCTGACCTGAGGAGAGGGGGGCCCCAGGCCAGAGACGTGGCCTCTGCTCAGTTCCCTCCTGCCCCCACCGGGATCCCCAGGCTGCCCTGCACAGTCCCTCAGCTTTGGTGCCTGGGTAGTGGGAGCGGGTTTGCTCACCCAGCCCAGACACAGCTCCCAGCCAAAACCCGAAGAAACCAGATCGGTTGCTTAAGAAACCTCTCTCCTCCTCCTGCCACCCCCGGCTGGCTTTCCTGGTCTCCCTCTCCTGGCAGTGCCCCGGGGGAGGGGAGGAACTGGAAGTTGCTGCAGGTCTCCCTCCTGCTGGCCATCCCCACGTGCCCTGCTCCCCCCTCTCCCTGCCGGGGTAGTTATTATCTAAGCCATCCCAGTCACAGTGAGGCCATGTCCAGTGGTCCCAAGTGCCTGGAGCCAACCCCTCACCACCCCAGATGCGCCCACAATTCTGCTCAGGGAAAAGACAAACCAGCCTCGGGGGCTGAGCTGGGAGGTTGGGGCTCCTGGTGGGATGGCCTCTCTGCTTTGTCAGAATGGGCCTCTGGGATGTAGGGAGCAGCTGCCTGCCCCTGCTCAGGGTGTCTGTGCCCACTGGGTCTGGAAGCAAGGTAGGCATGCCTGGCTGCATACCAGCTACACCCCCAGGTCCACAGCCCCCACCAAGGCACAAGGCTTCCTGACCCATTTGGAGATGGTGGGCCCCTTGTGTAGCTTGGGGACACCCTGAGCCAGTTCTCACAAGCCAGACTCTGCCCCCGCCCCTTGGCCTGTGAGTGGGAGAGGGGGGGGCTTGGGCTTGCTGAGCAAGAGAGGCAGCCTCTTCTTCCCCATCCACTCCCAGCCACGCCCCCACCAGGGAGGCTCCCCCCATAGCTGTGTGGACCTGTGTCCCCCCGGGAAGGCTCCTCTGCACCCTTGTCCAAGGATAGCTGCTTGGAGGCCAGCAGCCCCATGCTAAGGGTGTCCTGGAAAGAGGCTGGGACCCCAGTGTTCATTCCCAGCCTCAGAGAGCACAGTCCTCCAGCCTGCCACCTCCACCCCAAGCCATCCGTATACCAGCCCCGGTGCCCTCCTTTTCCCACGGCGCCCAGGCTGCCCAGGCCGGCTGTGCTGAGGGCATGCAGGCGGCACAGGGTTCTTGACTGCTCTCCCCTTGCTGCAGGAACTGGTTTCTATGCCACTGGGCTTGGTATCTGGCACTGGCACTGGCCTCCTCCCCCAGCTCCTTCCCCTACCCCCAACGTGTCCCTGGTGCTTTGAGGTCAGACTTCCTGTGTCCTATATCTTTGGGCTGCCCGATGCCTGGTCCTGAGCACTTCTCCAGCCAATCACTGCCCCCAGGCAGAGGGCAACAGCAGCTGTGCGAGCAGGGCAGAGAGCCAGCAGAGACGGACCCATCCGCATGCCCAGCCATCTGCCCCGCCAGCCCATCCCTCCCTCCGGCGCAGGGCACTCACCTGACTCCCCCCAGCCAGGTCCCTGAAGTCAAGTCGCTGGAACCATTCAGCGAGCCCCTCCTGGGATTCCTAGAGAAATCCAGCCAGCTTTGCCAGGCAGAGCACAGTGGGCGCTGGGTACCCGATCTGCCAGGAGCAGGTGGCACGCAGCACACAGCTAGTGCAGAAGCAGCGCTTGCCTCGGCCAGGCACAGGGCTGTGGGTCAATGACAAACTGAGAAGGAAAGAGGGAGGGACGGAGGCAGACAGGAGAGGGGAGGAAAGGGGAGAGGAGGCGCGTGTGCGCGCGAGCAGCGCCGAGCCACGGAGTGACAGCTGGGGTACATCTGTGATGACAGCGACAGCAGCACACACAGGGGATGGCCGCTCACAGGCGCGCACACACACCAGGGCGCTCGCGGCCGCCAGGAGGGCAGCCCACAGCCCTGAAATGTGAGCATCTCAGTGGAAGAGGCGCCCCTAGATTAGTCACTCCCAACCCCGGAGGGGGAGGAGGTTGCCTCACCACGCTCCCCCACCTTCCCTCCGCTCCGCGGGCTCCCCTCCCCCACCCCTCGCCACCACCCTCCGCTCTTCAGGGAAGGAGGGGCAGGACCAGGGCAGGGAGGCCCCTGGGAAGCTGGCTCTGTGCCTGTTCAGAGGCAGGCGGGCACTGCCTCCCACCCTGCCTGTAGACAAGGAAATGCCGAACCTTCTCCAGGTCAAAGGGAGATTCATTCCAGAGGGTGAGTGGGGTGCCTGGAGGCTGTCTGCCTGGCAGTCCTACAGAAAGGGCCCTAAGCCACATAGAGTTTGTGTTGTATGGCCATGCAGAGGTCACTGAACCTCACTGACCCCAGGAGGGCCAGTTAGGGTAGCAAAAAGCCAGGGGGTGTGGAAGGTGGAGGGGTGCGGCATGCAGGCTGGGAGCCTGGGCCTGTTGGAGCTGGTTGGCAGGCTGCCTGGAGTGCCCCAGGTGAGCCCTGGAGGAAGAGGGGTAGGGGCCACATGCAGCCCCCCACCAGGCTTAGCTTCTCTGGGCTCCTTCTCGCTGTTATCTGGATGGGGGAGGCATGCAAAGGGAAAAGAGGCATTCAAGAACCCCGAGGCCTCTTTTACTAACCAATCCAAACAAAGAAGCTGGAGAAACTGATATTCCAAGAGATGGCAAGTTTCTGACCCAGAGGCACAGGCAGCCAGGGACTAAAGCCAGAGAAGACACCCCAGCCTGGAGCACCAACCCCTAATGACCCTTCTTTGCAGCCTTAAAACCTGCCAGCCAGTCAGATGCATGGCATGTTGGCCTAAGTCAGGGATATCCTAGTGCCCCTCTTCCGTTTCACCTGCTTTCCTGGGCGGTTCACCATCAAGCCTGGTCATGCAGGTTGAAAAACCCCCTTGACTCAGGACGCCCCTGCCAGGACGCTCCTGCACCCTCCTTTCCGTCTATCTGCTGGGCGACACAGCAGCCGGGACTGGGCTGCTGTCCCAGGAGAAAGCATCTTTTACCTCCTGGGATTTCTCTGCCTCCCACCTCACAGATGTCACATGCACCCCACCCTGCAAGCTCACTGCTCCCACCTACCCCTAAAAACACACATCCCGCTTCCCCAGCTTCAGGAAAGCATGTCCTTCCCCAAGGCTGAATGAAACAGTCTCCAACCAGCCCCCTGCCTGGGTAACCTTCTGCCCCTCCTTAAAAACTCAACCGGAAAATCACCTCCTTTATGCAGTTTCCTGGGCTAGTCACAGAGTTGACCGTCTCCTTCCCTGATGCCTGGCCTCTCTTCGGCCCGCCCCCAGGACAGGACAGCAGCCTCCTTGCTGGGGGGCCATCTCCTTTCCAAAGCTGTGGGCCATTCCAGAAGCGCCTGCCTCTCTGCGCCCAGGGCCCTGTCTGCTCAGTGAGGATGGAGGGAGGAGCCCAAGCCTAGGCACCAGGGGACCCAGAGGCTAGGCCCTGCTGCTCACTAGTTATTAGCTAATTAGCTCAGCAGCCCTGGGCCTCTGTTTCCTGCCCTGTAGAACGAGGAGGGAGAAGGCTGGCCATCTCTCCTGCTCTGTCCCTGGCACCACATGACCAAGCTCTCCCACTCCCCGGGCACCCACCACACCCCAGCCCTCAGTATTAAGTAAAGATGGGCCCCTCTGAGCCCAGGGTTCTTGGTCCTGTTAAAAATGCAGTCTTGGGCTAGGCGGTCGTGGCTGAGGAGGAGGAAGGACAGTGGATGGGAGAGCCATGGCAGGTGGCGGTGTTTCTGCCTCCTGAGGAGCATAGCCTCCCACAGGGCTCATTTTCCGTGTGTGTGTGCATGTGTGCACATGTGTGTGCATGTGTGCATATGTGTGTCCACATGTGTGTTCATGTTGTGCATGTGTGCCTATGTGCACGTGTGCACATGCACATGTGTGCCTTGTATGCGTGCATGTTCACACACGCACACATTTGCACAGCAGTTTTGTTTTGCTGTCTCTAATGACAAAGTAGCAGCGAGGTGACAGCCAGGAGGCAGAGCAAAGAGGTGCATCTTGATAAGCCATCTGCCGCCTGTGGCCTTATTGAGGCTCTTTGTGAGGCTGTCTGGCAGCCCAGGCCTTAAGAAAAGCCGCTTTGGAGGAAGGCAGGGACACTGGAGAGGCAGGAGAGAGTCCTCAGGAGGGACGGAGGGATAGGCTGCGCTGGACAAGAGGAGGGGGTCGGATTTCTCCTCCATCGACTGGGACAGGTCCCCCTGGGCACCAGGTCAGGGTCTGGAACAAGGACCCACCAAGCACAGGCATGAGGTGGGGGCTCTTCATGGCCCACTGGGGGAAGCAGCCAAAAAGACCAAGTGCCTCCCATCCCCTTGGTCTCTTTGTTTGGCCTTCTCTTCCCATGAGCTCTGAGCTGTGTGCAAACAAGACAGCAGGAGGTATTGTCTCCCACACTTAGCAGGCTTGTGGGAGGTGCTGGGAGGAGAGGGGCCAGCCTGGTGCCCCCCAGAGATGCTCAGTGAGGCTCCGGTCACAGCCAACCACCTATGCGGAATAGGTATCCGAGGGCTACCCTAGTGGGCTCCCAGGAGAGCAGACCAGGCTCTCTCAGAGTCTGGTGTGGAAAAGCGTGATTTGGGTTGTGAGGCAGGAGTTGAACAGAAGGGTTTGAAATGATTAAAGACAAAGGATGCAAGCCAACGGGCATGACAGAGCACGCAGGGTTTGCTGTTGAAGAGGCTCCTGTGCTCTCACCCCCTTCCCCCATCCCGTCTAAGCCTGATTCCAGCCTCTTACCATTCTTACCATTGATGCCAGGATTCTTGTTTGCAGAGTCGAAGAATGAACTTAGCAAACAGTCGAGGTAGGAGAGCCAGGGAGACTTTTATTGAGATACAGTGAGAGGACAGACAGAGCTCCTGGCTCACACCAGGAGGGGACAAGACAGCCCAGAGTGGTGCGTTGTCTTGGGGTTTTATAGGCAGTTGAGGATATTTGGGAACATGAAAAAAGTTTAGGGGTGTGGACTTGTTAAGTGGTTCCTGAATATTTAGAATTAACATAAGGAATTTCCTGCCTTGATTTCTCTCTGGAATAACGTTGTCTTGGTCTGGGAGCATGTCAAAAGGCTGTCTGCCCAGCCCCCAAAGTGGCCTGAGGTATTGTCTGTTTGCTAAAGAGTAAGTTAAGAGTCTTACTTCTTAAACTTCCTGGGTGTTAAAATGCAATCTTGTCTTTAAGGTGGAATCCTTCCTGCCTTTTACTGTGTTGTTTACAGCTGGGTCTGCATGCTAAATTAGTTGCCCAGTTTGCAAAATCACCTCATCAGATCTGAAGGAGGAAGGACAGCACATAGGCCTGGGCCTTTAGCATGCTAAGGTGAATCTTACACATGATTACAAATGATTAGCATAATAAAAACATGTGCTACTCTTCTTTATCTGGGGAATATTAACTAATCTCACTGAAGAATGACTCCAGAGCTGAATATTTAACACAGAGTTTCAGTAGGGGGTTTCCTTGCATGTAGTTACATTGCTCTGACTGCAAATATCCTGCCCTGCTTTTTCTGGAGGCCCTCACCCACTCTGTCTCAGTCCACAGTCCCTGTCTCACCACGAGGAAGTGCTCTTTGGGTCTCATCAAAGTTCCCCCTTTCTTAGTGGGTCCTTCCTGGGTCTCTGGGTGAATCAGAGCTAAGCCCCTGGGCTCTCAAGTCCAGGATCTGTACAAGGGTAGGACTCCACATAGGAGGGGGAGGTCAGCCAGGGTGGACCCTGCAAGTAAAGGACAGTCAGAGAGACCTTGTAGAGTGTGCTCCCCAATCATGTGGCTGACTCCGTGGAATCCACAACTATTGATTTATTTAGTTCAAGACATAGTTATTGAGCCCCACTATGTGCTAGGTGCTACTTGAGGTGCTGGGGATCAGAGCTCAACCCCTTGCCTGGATTAGCCCCATTATAAAGGGGCAAGACAGAAAATAAATGAGAGTAAAGTAATATATCATATTACTCAGAAAACAGAAACAGTGATGAGATGGAGAGGGCATGCTGAAGGGAGGGCTGCTCTATCCGGGGAGTCAGGGAACACCTTCCTAGGAGATGCTGTTTGGCTGAGATTTGATGGTGAGAAGGAGCCAGCCTTGTAAAGTCCTGGATGAATATTCCAGGAAAAGGGGACACCTGATGCAAATGCCCTGGGGTGAGAATGAGCTTAGCATGTTTGAGGGAGAAAGTGATTCAGGCTGAAAGCAGAGAGATCAGCAGGGCCAGCTCTTGTGGCGCCTTGTGGGCCATATGACCAACGATTTAGATTTTGTTCTAAGGGCAGAGGGAAGGCACTGGGAGGTTTTAAACAGGAAGGTGATGTGATTCGATCTTCAGAAAGATCATCCTTATGGCTATGTGCAGAATGGCCCCTAGGGCATCAGGGAGATGAATGAGGGGGTCTGTCGCATTATCATCCAGGTGAGGGAGAGGTTGGTTTGGTCCAGGGTGGTAGCAGTGGAGGTGCAGAGAAGTGGACAGACCTATGAGGCTGTGGAATAAAGCCTGCAGAACTTGGAGGGGATGAGGGCAAATGATAACAGTTAGGTAGAAAATATGCCCCAAATGGGGAAGTCTCAAGGAGGATCAGGTTTGGGGAGGAAAAGCCAGAGTTAGGTTTTGAACATGTGAAGTTTAAAATTCCTATTGGTGACTAGAATGGAGATGTCAGTAGGCAGTTGGAATGTCCTAAGTTCCGCAAAGGACGCCAGATGCACAGGACCCAGAGCTGGGGGAGCTTAGAGTCCATCACCTCAGAAAGTTCAGCTAGTGATACTAGCCAGGGGAACCTGCTGTGTGCCCCACTCCTCGCATTTCTACCCAAGAGGGACAAAAACCTGTTTCATTAGGGAAGAATTAACCCCACCATCTCAAGACACCCTGTGTAGAATCACAGAATTTCTTCCAGCCCAGAAATTCTGAAACCCAACAATATGCAATCCAGTAGAGAGGCAGCGTCCCACTTTAGGAACAGGCTGAGAACTCTGACCACAGGGGCCAAGGGGACCAGGGTAAACAGCTCTCCTGAATCCCTAAGGTGTGATCACTCTGAGCACTGGTGTGACTCCCCTCTGACCGCTTTAGAAGGTTCCTCCTCTTTCATCTTTCAGCCTTTTTCTACAGGTGAAAGAGATCTGTCTAAAACAAATAGTAAGGGTGGTCTTAAAAGGAAGAATAAGAGAGAAGGACTTGGGGCCACCTGCAACCTCACGGAGCAATGTGGGAGGGAGGAGGGGACATGGCCCCCAGTGTTGTACTCACCCCCCTGCACACCCCACATGTCTGATCACATACTGTGTCTGTGTCCTGTCTTTCTCCTGGAGCAAGAAGTGGGCCTACCTGTCCACCTGTCCCCTTCTGGCCCGCCCCTTTCAGACACTTGGATCTTGAAGCCACAGAGAAGCCCCCAAAGAACTCAGATGCTCCCATATCAGAGGACCTATCCAGGAAAGCTAGCTGCAGCCACAGACCTGCTGTGTTGCTCCAGGGGAGGGGGGGCCTCTCAGGGTGCTGGTTTCTTCATCTGTAACTCAGATGAGCTCTAGAATTGCATTGTCCAGTATAGTGGCCCCCAGCCACATGTAGCTATTGCAATTTAAATTAATTAAAATTAAATTTAAAATTTAATTCAGGTCCTCAGTCACAGTAGGCACCTTTCAAGGGCTCAGTAGCCACATGTGACTAGTGGCTACTGTACAGGACAGTGTGGGTCCAGAACAGCTCCATCACCCCAGAAAGTTCAGCTAGTGATGCTTTACAACAGTGGTTCCCAAATACGGTCCTGGACCAGTAGCCTCAGCATCACCTAGAAGCACTTCAGCAATGCAGGTTCTCTGCCCCCAGCCTGATCTACTGAATGAGAAACTCTGGTTTTAACAAACTTTCAGATAATTCTGACACATGCTGAAGTTTGAGAACCAAGGCTCTTGGCTAAAATAATATTCTTGCACATTATGTTATTGCAGCCTCGACAATCTTACACTCATTCTGCCTTTCCAAGATACGTACAATTGCGACCCACTTTACAACTAAGGAAACAAATGCAAAGATCGCAACTCTGACAAACCCAGGAGCTAGATCTTGCCCCTTGACCTTATCCTGATCTCATTTATTTTTTACCATCAAATTTCTCTAAGATCATTCCATACTGAAAAAAACAAAGGATACCATTCTGAACCTCTATGCCATACTGGAACCCCAGTCCATTTTGAGAGAGCTGTCTGAGACTCAGGGTCTCAGAAAGTCAGAACAATCGTGACAGAAAGTCTCTCCAGCGGCTGGTCACTGGGGCAGCTAGAAAGCCTCATGACCTGACACATGGGGCAGGACCCCGATGCAGTCCCATTCTGCAGATGAGGGACTGGAGGCCCCTGGTGGGAGTGCGCCTCTGCCTCTCAGCTCCTTCCTGGCCGCCCGGACTCAAGGCAGGCAGGGAGCCGGCAGGTGCAGAGCCTTTAGAGGCTGACCCGGGAGAGTCCTGGATCTGTGCTTAGGGGCCAGGTGATCTCTGTAAGTGTCCATTTCCTCATCTGTGAAGTCCAAATAATAATAGAACTGGTCTGCTGTGTGGACAAAATAAGCTCACGGATGTCCAGTTGCCTGGCACTCAGTGCATTTTCGATATCATTATACCAGACAGTAGGAAGTCAGCCTAGTTTTTAAATTCTTTTTCTTTTTAATATATACTGCCTTTTCTTTATTCCTTGGCCTCAGCTGTCTCTCAGCATGTGAGCCTCAGCTTGCATTCTCCAAACCTATTTAGGGACCAGAGGCACCCGGGCAGCCCTTGGAAGTAGAGCCATCAAAAGCCCTGATGCTGCAGGCTGGTGGGGTCTCTGGTTTTCTGGAACCTACCTGCGAACCTGGGTTGAATCTGATCACGACTTTCAGTGAGGAAAGAGCCTTCTTATGAAGTGGAGGAGACTGGGCAGGAAGTGGGGACAAGAGAACTGCACGGCAGGCTTGCTGTGTAGGATGGTGACGGCCCCACATTTCAGCTCAGCCACCACTTTTGAATGAGTGACCTTGAACAAATGCCTCTGTCTCTCTGCCTCTATTTTTCCATCTGCGGGAAAGGGTCCAGTGCACCTGCCTTGAGCCCCTGATATCCAAGGAAGAGCACCGTCTTCATCTTCTTGGGGCCTTTCTGGCATCTGCTGTGGAGAGACAGCAGCCACGAGCCCCCACCCCCAGAAACCCCAGCTCAGCCATCTGCTGACTCAGCCTCTGTTCCTGCTGAGCACCCCCACTCTTTAACTAGAATCTACTTTTTTCTCTCCCCACCCCTTCTGTCAAACCCCGCACATGATCTTGCCCCTTTTGCAGCGGTGGGCATCCAAATGCATCTGGATTTCCTGCACCGTGCCTTCTGGGCTGCAACCAGGCAGGTACGTTGCTGTATGGCTGGGGCCCAGGTCAAGGAGGGGTCTGACATTTTCAGACCCACTCCTCGACCCTCCTGCCCTTGGCCAGCTCTCTGGACCACTTCCCTGTGTGCCTTCTTGGCCTGTGTGTTTCTGCTGCCCTGTCTGTGGTCCCAGCCTCCTGAACCCAGTGCTCCCTCCCAGCTCAGATCCGACGGCAAAGGGCAGGGCACAGCACCCCTCGGGGCCTGGCCTGCATTTCACTGCATCTCTGCTGCCCCAAAGCCACCCCAGGCACTCACCCATGGCCTGCCCCAGTAGGCAGTCAGGAGGGTGCTGGCCTGCATCCCGCCTACCAGGATCTAAGCCTGGACCTTCCTGGGCCAGGGAGCTCATCTGCCACACCCCTCTGGCTCCACCACCTCCTTCGTGCATCCTTCCTGTCTCCTCCCTCTGAGGCTTCTGGGTCTCCCTCTGTCCTTCCCATGCTCCTCCAGCCCCGAATCCTCCCCTGGGTGCTAAGGTCACTGTCCTGCAACCCCCATTCACTGTGGCTACATCGCACTTTGAGCAAGTTCAGGGAACCACGGAGTGAAGATGGAAAGGACGGGAGGGGAAAGGGGCGCCACCCCTGTAACCTGCAGTCCCCCACCACATATGCAAGGTGGCAAGAACAGGAGCCCCGGGAGAGGCCCCAGGAAGCCATCCACACGGCTGACTCTGTGGCAGGGGCCGCAGTCCCCTCCCTGGAGGCTGACACTGTATGTACAGGCCGCTTCTCAGAGCCCTGACCCACCAGCACACACACCCCCCACTGGCATACCACCGCCAACCTCCCCCTGCACACGTACACTGTGCACAGTCACACAGTAAACACCCATACCCACACCCACAAGGACACCAAGAACACACACACACCCTTTCCCACACATAAACACACAACACAAAGATACCACACACAACACCCAGATGTGCTCATCCACCCTGATCTACCCCCGCCCCCCCACACACAGGCACACACAACTTCCAGTCCCCCCTCTTCCTTCCAGTGCAGCACCATGGATGGGCCATGCCCAGGGGACTGCCGGGACGCGGTGAGTGTGTCCTGGTGAAGAGGGTGGGGCTGGGGCCGCAGGCCCCTCACCCACAACCCCACGGCCCAGCTCCTCACCTCCCTGGGCCTGGGAGCTTGCCTGCCACATCCCTCTGTGTCCACCACCTCCTTCCTGCCTCTGCCCCCTGAGGCTTCTGGGTCTCCCCCTTCCCTGCAGTGCTGGCCTCCTGAGGGCATCCCTCACTAGACACGGGGCCTGCTGTCCCAGCCACCAGGACAGCAGGCAGGGGGTCAGCAGTGGGGCCTGGTCCCAACCCCCCTCCTTGGCCTCCCCGCAGGACCTGGACTGCTTCGTCATCGACGACAATGGGTTCGTCCTGGTCTCGGAGCGGCCACAGGAGGTAAGGAGGCAGGGTTCCATCCCACAGCCCCAGCCAGTCAGCAGGCTCACGGCCCCAGGAAGCAGCCCTGCTCAGAGCCCAGCAGAGCCAAGAGAAAGTGGAGTCTCCTCTTGAGAAGTCCACATAGTAGGATTACAGAGTCAGACGCTTCTCAACACAGATGGTCGGAGGAACATCACTTCTCTGTTTCATCTGGAGCTACTCTGGCCTTTTCCTGGGGCCGGTAGGGAAACTGCCCACCCATGAGAGGCTTGGCAGAGCTTCATCTCCAGGCCCCACATCCTCAGCACTGCTGACCACATGCCTTGGTTGGGCCCCTGCCAGAGTCCAGACACCTACCACCCATCTCCCTGGCCTCTCCTTTGGCCACTCGGCTCCACAGCAGAGAGCACTGGCTCAGGGACTTAAAAACAACAGAAATGTATTTAAGGCTGTTCTGGAGGCTGAAGCCCAAGCTCAGGGTGCTGGTGTGGGCAGGTGAGAGCTTCTCCCAGGTGCAGCCTTCTCATTGCACCTTCAGGTGGGGGGTTGGTGAGGGAGCTCACTGGGTCTCTCGTAGTCTGTTCCCAAGGGCTCTGCCCTCATGGCCGAGTCACCTCCCAAGTTGCCACCTCCTGGCAGCAGCTGGGGAGTTAGGTTCCAACATGTGAATGATGGACACACCCTCAGACCATAGCACACTCCCATCCTGGGACCCAGAAAGGCCGGGCCTTCCATTCTGGGCCCTCCCTTGCCTGGAACCCCCCCGAGGACAGTCCTGTAACTGAACGTGCAGTTCCACTGCCACCCGATTCAGCCAAAACACCGCGGCACAGAGTAGCAGGTGGAGAAAGAGGTTTACTCAACCAGCTGGCAGGCTGTGGTCCTAAAGGCCCATCCTAACTCAGGGTTGATGTCAAGCTCCTTTCAGGCCAGGAAGTGGGAGAGGCAGGGAGACAGGGAGGGGGAGGGCGACAGACGACTGTGGACAGCAGGCATCAGCCAGGGGCTGAGGAGGTCGGAGGCGCCCTGCCCTAGGTCAGGGACTCCATCCCGCTCAGGGTATCACAGATGCTCCTGCAAACCCCCACAACACAATTACTCGTTTTATCTCTCAAGCTGGAAGCAAAATCATGAGCGAGCCTACATGCTGAGCTCAGGTACCCTTGCAGATTTAAAGGTGGGTGCCAGTTCAGGGCCTTGTAACTCTCAACTCCTCTCCTCGCTTTGTCACTGGACTGTTTCTGTCTCTAAACTCCAAGAACAAAACAGACGGTTGCCCTGTCCCTCGTCATCCTTACCTTGTCCTGGCAGCCCTCAAGGAGCTGGAGACCAGCTTTTAACTCCTTCAGGCCTGGCCGCAATCCTATTCTAACCTGCCAAGCCTGACCCTCAGTTTGTGGAGGCAAAACAGGAATGGAGGTGCCCATTCTCACCCAGTGGCCTGGCTGCACCTGGGCACCCCCTGGCCCTCCCTCAGGCACCTGGGTGTCTCCCAGACACTGCACATACTCAAGGAGGCAGAGGGGAGTGTACAATCATAATGTACCCCAAACTGAGCCTCCAAATTGATGGTTTATTTAGCCAGGGATCAAACTAAAAAAGAAGCATGTTCAAACTTGAACCAAACCTAAATATATTCACCTGAGATGTCTCCTTCAAACAAACCAGAAACATTGAAACCTCAGTGGAAGGGATATAGCATCCAGCCCAGTGTGAGCTTTGCTGCTAATTAGATGGGTGGTTTGGTTAAGCAGCTTCCATGATGTGTGCCTCAGTTTCTTCCTCTCTAAAATAGGAGGGCTGGACCACACGGTTTCTAAGGTCATATCTAACCCTGAGGAGTTGGTGCCTGGGGTTTGGATAGAGCTGCAGGAAACAGGATGATGTTGGCGAGGCTGGCTCATGCCTGGCGGGGCAGAGTTCTGGCCTCCCCAGAGCAGAGCTTAGGGTCCAAAGAAGTCACCAGAACACAGCAGGAAGCAGGGCATAGGAAGGAGACATGGCACAGAGGGCAGCCGAGAAAAGGGCCCCAGTGCGCCGTGGAGGAGATTCCCACATGGGGGGTCCCAAGGCGAGCTGGTGGTCACAACAGCCAGGGCTGGAACTGCCAGCTCATTGTGGTCTCCCTGCCCTCTGCCCTCCCTTTCATGCCCGCTTTCAGCCACTCCCCCCTGGACCGAGCACCAAGCTGGTTCGGCATTCCTCAGTTGCACAGGGAGAAACTGGATGACAACAGAAGGTGAAGCTGGTGGTCCAATGAGGCTTTGGGGCTGTCTGGGGGGCTCAGCAGTCCATGCGCCACCCCTGCCACCCTGGGGACATGAGGCCACAGCGCCGCCAGGTCCCCATGGCACTGGTTTTCAAGCGCCAGAGTTTCAGAAAGAGTGTGAAGGCCAGACATCTGGGGAGGAGAGCAGCAAGGTGCAGGGAGAGGACAGCCTAGCTTGAGAGACTGTGCTTTGAAGCAGGCATCAGCAAATGGTACCAGTAAAAGGGCAGTCGCAGTGTGTTTCCAGGCTGGTCTCTGTCACAACTGCTTGGTCTGCCAGTGTAGCCCCGAAGCAGCTGCAGCCAGCACAGGGATGGGCGAGCACAGCTTTGTCCCAGTCAAAGGTAATAATGGACACTGAAATTTTTATTTCATGTAATTCTCACATGTCACAAAATAGTATTAATCTTTTCTTTTCCAAACCATTTGACAATATGAAAACATGTGTGCTCCATAGCTGACATAACAAGGTGGTGAGCTGGATTTGGCCCGTGGGCCAGTATTTGCTGACAGCTGCTCAAGAGGCAGCCAGAATAACCTTGCAGGGCCCAGAGGAAGACCAGCCCAGCCCAGGGCCCACTTCAGGAGAAGTGGGCAGGGGCATCTTCAGGCCAGGCAACCCCCCGAGGGGCTTTTGCATAACCCAGGGGGCCACTCAGGTCCTGTTCTACCCAGACCGAATTTGCCCAGGTCTTCCCAGCTTGTGGAATCACTGGATATGACTTCAGGTAACACACAACAGCAAATGGTCTTTCAGGGACTCATCTTTTACAAAGTATGCATTTACTTAACTTACCCTTATTTTCTCGATGATTGTGTTATCTTATAACACTATGTGGTTTTAAAAGCCATCCCCAGTTTTTTGTACAATGATGCAGGGCACAAATGAAATTTAATCCACACAGTAGGGTTGGAACATTCTAGAAACTCCTCGAGACCCCCACCCCCCCCACTTCCCACTGTGCTTGGTTACCTGGCCTCTACCCACCACTGCAAGGGCCCAGGGGGGTGAGCCTCCCCTTTGTCTCTGGGCAGTCTCATTTTACACCAGAGGGAGAAACAGGCTGTAAGCTGAGCTTAGCAACTGAAAACACAGCTACAGAAGAGCCAGACTTTGAACCTAGAAGTACAAGGGAAGAGCAGTCAGGCTCTAGAAAAGAACGCTGGGGTGAGGGAAGCCGGCTGGGAGAGCATTTGCAGGGCAGAGTAGGTGGCCCCAGGGGCAGGCCTTCCCCAGAGGGCGTGGCAGGCTGCAAGTCCCGGGCCACTGCCTGAGCTCCACCCCAGGTCACCGCTCAGGGTTCCTTCACGTTGCCACCCTTGGCTGAGGTTTATGGAATTAGGATAGATGCCTCCAGGACTCTGAGCACCAAGGCCCTGGAATCCCAGCCCTGGGTTAAGCGCCAAGGCTGGTGCCAGGCTGCAGGAGCGGCCGTGTCCTGCCAGGGCTCAGTGCTCTGGATGACTCGCCCAGGTGACCTGAGTGGGTCGTTATGAGAGGCTGGCCATGCAGGGACGCACACCCGGGCCGGAGACAACACCGTTCAGCAGCACCCAGACACTGCCCGACCTCAGCAGATGATCAGTGGCTGCACGGGGAACTGATCTGGCCTCCTGGGAAGGCCTGCAAGTGGGGGACAGGGCTAAGGAAGGGAGTGGGAGTCAGGGCTAGAAAGCCTGTGCTAATGTGAGAGTTCAGATGTCCACCCATCCATTTTTGCTTTTTTCAAAATTTAACTCATTCATTCCACAATTCTGTAGTAGTTATCTATTGCTGCATAACAAATTACCCCCAATGTAATGGCTGCAAACCACCTACTTAATATTTCACTGTCTCTGCGGATAGGAACCTGGGTGTGGCTGGGCTGGGTGGTGCTCTGGGTTCCCCATAGGCTGGAGTCAAGGAGTCAGCCAGGGCTTTGGGCCCATCAAGGCTGCCCTAGAGAAGGATCAGCTGCCAGGTCCACACCCAGGCTGGCTGGGAGGACCCAGCTGCCACGTGGGCCTCTCCATGGGGAGCAGTTCACTTTGTCGGCGTGAGCAAGCCCAGCAGAGCCAGACAGGGCCAGGTCAAAGTGGGAGTCACGGTCTTTTGGAACCTAGTGTCACAAGCGACATCTTGTCACATTCTTTCATCAGAAGCAAGTTTCTAGGCCCAACCTACACTCACGAGGAGGGCTTCCCTGGCATGGCCACCCAGAGGCTGAAAGCACTGGGAACTGTCCCAGAAGTGTCCCGCCCTCCAAACCTGCGCCTCCCGGAACACACCCATGGCCCAGGCCTGGTGCTCCCCACTCCTTTACCCCCAGGCCTCCAAGGGGGGGGGACCCGCAGCAGCATCTGGGGGTGTGATGGCAGTGCAAGTTCTCAGGCCGCACTCTAGACCAAGGGAATCAGAACTCTGGGTGACCGCCCTGAGCCCTCTGTGATCCTGATGTCCGATGCCATCTGAGAGCCGCTGCCTCAGCCCCCATGCCAGCTGCTGCTGCTCTCAGCATACGTCCTGGACGGGGCCCACGTGCCCGTGTCCTTCCTGGGTTTGGGGCCAGAAGACTGTCACTGCTCCACACGCAGATTCTTCCCAAAGCCCTTCCCATCCCTGCTTGTGAGGCCGTCCCACCCACAAACAGCCGAGGGCAGAGGCCCAAGGCAGGGCGCTTGGCAAGCCCGGCGGTGGCATTCATGTGGCTTGGGAGGCCTTGCTTCTAGCTCAGGGCTCGGCCCATGCCCATCATAAAGAGCCGCACGTGGCAGGGCGACTGCCCTCTGAGGGAAAGAGAAGCAGAGAGCCTGGGCCCGGAGAGTGACGGCGGCCCCCGCAGACCTTTTAATGCTCACAGAGGTCTGTCACCCCGGGCCTGGGGCAGTCCTGCTGCTCGCCTGTGGGCAGCATCCACACACAGGAGCCCCAGGGTGGGCCTCAAACGGGCAGCAGGGCCAGAAAACTGATGCCCGGGCCTGGCGGCCTTCCCTGAGGACATGAATCTCCCCCAGGGTGCAGTCCCCTCCTCCCTCCATGGCCTCCACCCAGAAAGCCAGGGCTGGCAAGGCGTCTGGGTCAGGGCAAGCTTCTGCCTGTATGGGGCGTCCCCTGTGCCTGACCTGAGCCTCAGCTCCCATCTCCACAGCTCCTCCTCTCCCTCCCTGCTTCCCTGCACACCCGGCCCAAGCCCTTTGTCTCTCCCTCCCACTCCACAGCAGACTGTCTTCAGGTCACTCCCCAAGCTGCTGTGTTGTGCAGGGGACACCACGGGCCTCCTGCCAGGCACACGCTCCTGCCTCATCCTTCCAGCCCCCACTCCCCACCCCTGCCTCAGCTCACCTGCCTCCAAGCTGCCTGGCTCCAGCAGCTGGGGCCAGGGCAGCACCCCCAACACCGGCCCCCTCTCCTCAGGGACAGCAGCCCCCCACAGGCATGTACCTCAGCCCACAGCCCAGAATGCTCTGGACCTCCACCTTCCTTGCTGCCTGGAGCGGCTGCGGTCCCTGTGCTGCACTGTGTGCCCACGCTCGGCCGGGGCCCTGGCCTGATGCAGGCATTCAGGGTGGAGTGTCTGGACTTTGGCCTTGCAGAGCCAGGCACTCAGTTTGCCTATTTGAGGTACTGATTCACTCTGACAAAGTTCACTCAACTATCAGCTAGAATTGTGTTTTGCTGTCAGGAATAGAGTCTCCACTGCAGGGGTTTAAGCCAATTACAGGCTTATTCTCTCCCATACAAGAAGGGACAAAGGCAGCCCAGGCCTGGCACAGTGCCCATGAGTCCCAGCCTTAACTTGCAGCATGGCTGTACGGGCTCCTGACCCCCTGTCCACTTTCTGGACGAAGGGGAGGCACAGCCAACAGAGAGGCACCCTCCTGCGGAGTTATCACCCTTACACAGACCCCCAACATCCCACCCAGGAGCTGCTCCCCCCTCGGCGCCCAGTGCCAGCCATTGCGGCGCCCAGGGTGCAGTGTTTCAGCCGAGCATGCCTGCCACAATCACTAGGAATGCCTCACTGCGGAGGGCGGGAGTCTCTGCCCGAGGGACAGATCAGAAATCGCGTCCTGTCAGGTGCGGGGCACATTTTGTCCAGTGCTGGAGTTTGTCTTAACTCTCAGGGGCTCCCTTCTCAGAATCAAGTGTCTGAACAACAGCCCGGAACTGGGAAGAGGAGGGGTGGGCCTGGAGGCAGTGGGCCAGCCTCACCCTGGAGACCATGCTCACCCCACACTTGCCCAGGAAGCGGAGTCCTCAGAGGGCTGCTCCCCTGCCCGCCACGCACACACACAAATAAAGTCTGAATAATAATGGTGGGCTCTCACTGTCTGCTCAGGCAGGAATTCTGCACACAGTACCAGGGCGCAGAGAGCCTCCCTGGCTGCAAGGGGCACCAGGCTTCCTGCTGGAAGTACAGGTGACACCTGGAAGGGGCAGGATGGGTGCCCCCCTCCTGCTTGCTGCCTCTGCCCCACCCTCTGTCCCCACAAAAGCCTCTCTTCCTGGGTGGAACAGAGGGCACACCAGAGGCAGCCATGCCATGCAAGTCCCGGGCAGGGTCCCCAGAGCTCCTCTCCCATGGGCCTTGGGCCTTGGCCTGCCCGTTTCTGAGTCCAGATGGAAGAGGAATTATTCTGACTGGACAGGTGGGAAAAGAGGCTTCTTGGAGGAACATGGGAAGGGAAGGCCCTTGGAGGGAGGCCCGAGGAGGGGCAAGAAACAGAGCCAGGGCCCTAAGGCCTCCTTGTCGTATCAGCCGCCGCACTCGGCTCCACCGGGCCAGTGCTTGCACGTGTCACCCCAATCCTTGCAACAACTTGCCCATGTCACATGGCAGGCAGCGACCAGCTGCCAGGGTCTGGACCATAGCCATGCCTATGTCCAAGCCCATTCCACTCTGCCAGGTTGAGAAAGCAAAGCAAGGCCGGGCAGGTGGGGTCGGGGGGCAGTAAGGCTGGGTGCCAGCCGGCCAGGGCAGAACAGGCGTGAGTGAGCTGGCAAGGGGTCTTTCCTGGCTGCGAGGCCCCGCCCAGCATGTGGGCATGGGTGCTCCCAGTGCTGGGTGATGGGATAATGAAGGAGGGATGGACCAGGGAGGATGGGTCCTGTTTTATTCTCCAGGAACAAAGAAGAGAGGGCCCAAATCCCAGCTGTGTTTGAGAGGCACCCTGGGGCAATGGTGGCGGGGGGCTTGGGGGGAGTGTTGGGGGGCCGCTGCTGAGGCATCAAGGGTCTAGTCCATGAAGTCAGATGGTGGGTGACAAGTCCCCAGAAAACCTGGATTAATTGGAAAAGGGAAGTCCAAGGAGCTCCGGAGAGCTCAAAGCTACGTGACTGGGTGATGAGGAGGCCAGCGGCAGAGAGTGCACCGCTCTCCAGCCTTGTCTGACCATGACCCACGTAAATACCCAGCTGACCCCGCCCGCATACGTGTGCATGCACACACACGCACACACACACACACCCCATATCCAGCAAATCAGGTTTCAGAAAACCTTGTTCACACTTACTGCAACCAATTCACACTGATTGTTCAAAGGAATTCTGTATCTATTTTTTTTAAGTCTCCTTGTAGCCCCTACATTGATTTCAGAGCCAAGGAATGGATTACAATTCAGAGTTTACAAAGCACTGGGATAGAATGTGGCAGGGGAGCAGGTGAAGGGAGGCGTGTGGGCGGGATGGAGTCAGTATGCTTATGTCGGGCATCTGTAGCCAAGCCCCAACTGGAGCCATGTCTGGAGCTCAGGATCACGGCGGCCCGCCAGCCCGTCTCAGCCTGTGCTTCTCTCCCTTGCTCTGCTGCCCTCACAGGTGGGAAGATTTCTGGGGGAGGCGGATGGTGCTCTCCTGACCCAGCTGCTCGGCATGGGGGTGTTCAGCCAGTAAGTGGGGCACGCTTCTCCCTGTCTCCCACACACAACAGGCAGGAGGCGAAGCCAAATGGTCCACACAGGTCTCGAGATCCAACCTTGAATCCCATTGCAAAAGCCTTTCTGCGGCCAGAGGCTGGACGTGAGGTGGGGAGGGGCAAAGGTCACCTGGGCCCTTGGAGGGAAACCGAGTTGCTGTCCATTCTCTTGTGCTGCCTTCTGACCCTGTTGTGACTCACACACCCTTGTGAACCCAGGGAAATGTAAACCCTGCAACAAGCTTCCCTGGGTAGGAGCAGAGGACAGGGGCGGGGGACGGCATGGACTCCCCATATCCTGTTTCTGATTTCCAGAGTGACCATGTACGATTACCAGGCCATGTGCAAACCCCTGAATCACCATCACAGTGCCGCCTGGCCGCTGGTCAACGTAAGTGCCACCCCCCAGAGCTCCAGACCTCTCCTGCAAGGCAGCCCTTTAAAGGAGGTCCCCATGGCCCTGTTCTGGCCCCAGGGCCCCCCTCGTGACTCTGACCAGCACACCCTCCACAGCTTCCTGCCTGGCTCCCTGCCCTCTGCCCACTCCGTTGGCTTGTCGGCCTCATCTTTGGGGTGGCTCGCAGAATATCAGGACCACTGGCAAAGAAAGTAGACTACAGCCCTGTCCTGCTTTGTTCCTGACCTCCCCTCCTAGTGGTCCCACAAGACATCAGGGATCTGAGAGTGTGCCCAAGGGGGACAGCAGGATAGGGCCTGCCTGGCTGTCCTGATGACAAAGTCTAACCCTGAGCCTCCTGCCCTACCATGGGAATCTCCAGATAACCACTCCACAATGCGTCCTCCACTGGGAGGGGTGGGGTGGCAGCAGGGTGCCCTGGGGTGGTAGGCTCTGGGGGAGCACCCTTGGCTGGTCCTGGGGCTGACGGTGTGTCCCCTCTACTTCCCAGCCAATCTCTGCCCTCCTGACTACTGCCAGGTGGCTGGCGAACGAGCTCCTGCTGTGAGTGGGGCCTGAGCCTGGGAGCGAGGTGGGGCTGGGCCTCCCTGCAGGAGGCTTATGAGGGCGCCCTTTGGGCAGGAGCTGTGCCCACCAGGAGGGGGAAGCCAGCTTTCTGGGTGCAACTGGCCACGTGGGTGCAGTGCCTCCTGCCGACCTGCTGCTGCTGGGGTGGGGGCCCTCTGCTCCCCTGGGAGCCTCAGGCAGGGAAGCAGCTGTCCTGGAGGAGAGGGCTGGACTGGGGGTCTGGCGCTTCGGCCCACTCCAGGCCCAGCTGGGGAGAGCAGGCCCCTGAGCTTCAGGTCTGTGTCCTAGGCTGCTGCTGCAATGGAGTGCCTGGGGCGCTTGGCGTGGGGACAGTGGGACCCAGGGTGAGTAGGCATCACTGCATAACCCGTGTGAATACCGGTGCCAAGTCAGCGGGGCTCACTGGAACCTGTCATCTGGGTGGGTGACAGCACAGGTGGGGGACTCCAGGGAGTTCACTGCTCACGACTCATCCTGTTTGGCCTTCTCTCATCACCTCCCCCCCTCCTGGCTCCCCTTCCCTCTGTGTGACATCATGCCATCTCGGGACACTCCATGTGACATCACCGTGACATCCTGACCTCGTGTGACATCATGCCCTCCCTCACGTCCTGGGCAGCCAAAGCTGTATTCCATCACTGTGAGTAGCATGTGGCGAGGAGCCCGGGCAGGTGGGCCCGGGAGCATGGAGCATCTGTCCCCAGGGCTCTGTCCCAAGACACATCCAAGACAGGCTGCATCCTGGGACACCCTGACTTGCTCCTTAGCAGGTGGGGAGGAGCCCAGGTCTCCTCCTGCACAAGGACAGTCCAACCCCAGGGAGAGAAAGCACTCCAGCCGCCTCTTGGGGTGAGGCCTTTTATGATTCCAGGAGCAGGAGGTGTGGTGTTCATTCAGCAGGAGCGGGCGCCTCCAGCTCAGGTGTCCCTGGGCACCAGGGGGCTCCTGGCTGAGGGGTGGCTGGTGACAGCCTGGTTCAGGCCCCCAGGACACTCTCGGGTGATGCCCCTCCTGTGACCTTGTGTCTGAAGACAGTGTCCCCCAAAGGCCTGACCACAAAGAGACGTGCTCGCTCTCAGCCAGCTGTGACTGGCGCACAGCCCAGAGAGGAGGCCGCCTGATGCTTAAAGGCAAAGGGACTCACTGGCTTCTGCTCCCTCGTGGCTCAGGCCCCCACCACAGGACTGTCTCACTTCAGCAGGTTTTGCCCAACCCCTCCCTATTCACAGAGCCTTTTTCTTAGGGTTCTGGAAGTTCCCCACTGCCTAGGCCGCACCCACCATCCTGTCCTTTTCTCAGACTTTGGCGTCCTCATGAAAAAGCCGCCTCCTCTGCTGTCCCCCTCCCCCACAGCTCCCAGCCTGGCCTGCCAGACACTCCTCTGACCCTTGGCTCCATGGCCAGCTCCCTGCCAGGCCTCTGGACTCCTTTTGGAGATCCCACCCCTGGGTTTCCCCAGCAGGCTCTGGGAAGTTCACACGCACTTGGTGTTTGCGACGGAAACCAGGAACCATGTGTCACAATCCATTTGGAAACAGCCCCACCCCCTGCTCAGGAGCACGTGTGGGTCACAGCCCCCTCTCTGTCTTTCTCTCTTGCCCGAGGCTGCATCATGCAAAGCTGAGAACTGTCCCTCGGCCTGGGGTGCAGCCAGCACAGATCGCAGGGCAGGGCAGCTGCTCCCCTCCCTGCCCAGCAGCCCCTATGTCTGCAGGGAAAGCATGCCCTAGCACCTAGACTGAGTGGGGGCCCTGCTGCCCCCTCCCAGCCGCCCCCTCCCAGCCAGTGACCTTGGGGACACCACTTGCCCCTGTCGCTGCTGACAGTGCCACTATCTTTATCACAGTGCTCAGGTGTCAGGGTAGGTGGGCTGGGTCCTGAGCCAGCCCCTGCTGGAAACAAGGCCAGTGCATCCCAGCCTAGAAGGTAAGGACCCAGGCCCTGAGGCTTCTGCAGGCATCAGCCAGGGTGCCCACTCCAGGATCCCGAGGCTCAGAGAGCAGAGCTGCCCAGCGGCTGCCTGCAAAGGTCAGCCTGACATGCTGGCTGGAACCTGATCATGTGCACAGACCCCCCGCAGAAGGCCGTGGTTCTTCCTCTCAGAGTTAGAGGAAGTTAGGACTTCTCTGCCTGCAGACCAGCCTTCCCGCCTGCCTCTAAGACATAGTGGGAAGTTTCTGGTCTGGGATTGGTCCCCCATCAGCCCCTGGGAAAGGGGTCTATAACATGAAAAGAACACTCCCACTCCACAGGTGGGCCCTGGGAGCCGAGGGAAGGCACACAAAGCTCCGCATACCAAGCAAAGAGGGCTTCTGTTCGAACAAAAACACCAGCCAGCCTGTGAGCGGCCCTGCATGGCTTGTGCTCCCCTCAGTGGACAGGAGTTGTGTAGGGAGGCCTTCAGGGCTTTTCTGCTCCTCATGCTGAGCCCCATTCACCCCACCCTGCACCCTCTGAGTGGACCCGGGTGCACAAAGCAGACACCCACTACGGAGCGGAGAGTTTAGGCAGCCTGGGTGCAGAAGCCACCTCTGCACTGCTCTGCTCCCTCACGGCCATGGGACTGGGAGGGCTGACAGGCTTGTCTGCAGCTGGGTGTGCAGAGCACCCTGGCTGGCCTTGAGAAATGCCACTGCCCACAGTGACTGCGAGAGGAGGGGGAAGGGCCACCCTGGGGCTCCCGCTACCCCTGCCCCCCTCCCAGCCCTCGGATCAGTGCTGAACAGAGCCTTCCAGAAGGTGCGCTTGCCTGCCTCCCCCACAGTTCACATTGAAGACACAGGCTTCCAAAGAGGACATGGCTTTTGCCAAGGTCACAGGCCAGTGCAGACACCAAAGGCCCTGATGCCTGGTCGACTGCCCTCTCCACTGTGACTCCAGTCTGTCCCTTCTCCCTTCCATCTCTCCTTGACAAGTCTGGGGAACTTTCTGACCAGGGAGCTATCTGCAAACCACACAGCCCTCCCAGTGCCTCAAGGCCCTTTCCCCATCCATGCCTCTGTGTCCCCACAGCCCACAAGCACAAGAAACAGGAGGTCTTACAGCCCTGTGACACGGAATACCCAGTGTTCGTGCACCAGACGGCCATCCAGGAGGCCAATGGGATCATCGGGTGCGGGGCGTGCCAGAAGTAAGGCTGCTGCAGGCGCGGCACCTCGTCAGCATGGGGAGCTGTGTTTCAGGTGGGGGGAAGGACGGGAGCTCTCAGTAAAAGGCCTCGCTCTGGGGGGCTTTGTTCCCACTTTCTCAGTGAAGGCAATGCAGGCTGAGGTAGCGTATGAAGAGGAGGCCAGGTGGACACAGGGACAGTAGGAGTGAACGGTGCAGTAAACCAGGGAAGATCCTGTGTTGGCAAGTCCACCCCTGCTCAGGCTGCAAAGCCACCTTGGGCAGAAAAAAAATGCCACCACCTCTCTCAGTGACCCTTCGGCATGTCTCACTGAGCCAGCCCACAGCAGCTCCATGTCAGGACCATGCAAGCTCAACTCCAAGAGAGGACCTGGAAGGACAGGGTAGATCTGCGGAAAGAAACATATCAGCTCTGCGGAGAAACGAGAAAGCTTCAGGATGTTCTCAGGAGTGTATGGGCTGCAGAGGGTTCCTAGCATCCTCAGACCTCACTTGGCATCTCTGCTCCTAGGCCTAGAGCCTGTGTGCAGGCCAGCCTAGACCCAGGCCTTCTCCCTTACAGGCCACTGGATGTCACCTGCTCGGCCCAGACCTGGCCCAGGGAGGCAGGAGGCCTAACTGAACGTTCTCTCCTGCTGACTTCATGCCAACCTCCAGGGCCTCCCCACGCAGGAAGCTCTGTCCTGGGCCAGGAGCCAAAGGCCTCCTCTAGAGCGTCCCTTCAGCTGGCCTTATCATTCCTGGGGAGTTCCCCAGGACATCCCTGAGGTCCCCAGACCTCACGAACATTATTTTATGGTATAACGACTCAGACTTGGTGTCCAGCAGCGTCAGGTTCCCATCTCTTACTCGGTGTGATGTTCGGTGAATTTTAACGTCACCACAAGAGGTTTTCTTGGGTCTGTTGTTATTTTGTGCGCTTACCCAAAGGCCTGTGTTGAGGATACGGTGAATGATGTGGTGTAAAGCAAAGATTGGGTTAAAAAACTAGCTCTGCTACTTCCTAGCTGTGTAACCTTGACAGTTACTTAACTGCTTTTGGATGCGTTTTTCAAAACGTGAACACCGCCCTGGTAGGATGCGAAGGTTAAATGCACACGTGCGCGCCCGTGCGGTCACTGGCCGCAGGAAAGCCTGGGGAGGCGCCGCCGCCATCCCGCGGGCCGCCCGGCACCTGCCGCGTGTTCCGGTCCTACCGCATCGCCCCCGAGCCCGGGGGGCGCTCGCCACCTCGTGGCCGTCCTGAGCCCGGCACCCTCCGCGCTCGGCCTCCCGGCCACAGTCGCGGAAGCAAGGACACACACGCACCCTATTGGCTCAGGACAGTCTTGATGTAGGCCTGTTGACCCTGCATATATTAGTAACACGTCCTTTCACTCTCAAAAGTGCCCCAGTCTGGACTTCCTCACCTTCTCCAATCGGCCGGTAAAGTGCGGTGCAGCTAGCTGCCAAGGCCTGCGAGTGCACAAACCCTCAGGAGGCTGTCGCAGGGCTGTTGCGGCAGCTGCCCGCCTACCTGCCTCGGCCATCCCTTCGTTCCCCTCTCTGCACCAGGCCCGCAGGAAGGGCTTTTCCCGGAAGCCCACATCCAGCCTGCCCTGGGGGAGCTCCAAGACCCCCGCTCTCTCTTTTATGCAGGATGTTTGTGATGCAGCAGATTCCCCATAGTAACCTTCTCCTCCTGGTGACAGACTCCACCTGTGACTGCAGCGTCTTCCCGCAAGTCCTGCAGGAGGCCATCCAGATCAAGTATATCCTTGCAGTGCCCCAGGGTGCGCCCTCGACCCCAGCTTCCCGCCCTCCCCCACAGGGCATCCTGTCTGTTCAACTCCCTGGCCCGGGAAGCCACCTGCAAGGCAGCTGGGCCCACCAGGGTTCAGTTCTTCCAGAACTTGGCCTCCTGTGTCTCCAGAATCAGCTCCTGCCATAAGGTGTTTGCCTTAACAGTGAATTCTGCACATAATGCCTCAGTCAAGTGTGACAGGATGCGCTCCCAGAAGGTCCGCAGGCGTCCTGATTCCTGCCACGCATTCCATCCAGAGGTGAGGCCTCTGGGGTACAGGATGGGCTTGTAGCCACACTTCCCCGGGTTTGGGGTCCCAGCAAATGGAAATCTGGCCTCCCCATATTGTCCTCACTGCCACTCACTTACCTCCGAACAACCAAAGGATCGAATGAGCAAATAGGAAGAAAATACCGTGTGTGTCATGCTAACAGTGATCAGCATGTACTGAGTACCCACTTACAGAGGTGTGTCATGCATCGCATCATCTTGGCTGGTTATGGCTGCCGCAAATAATCCGCATCAAAGACGCTCCCAGAGTCGATGGCTTCCCTGCAGTCCTTCTAGGAGGGTGACCCCAGAGCCACTGCCAGACTGGGGATAAGCAGACAAGGCTTGAACCCAGCTGTTGCTGAGTAGGCAGCCTCTACTTTCCCCTAAAAGGCGGGGCATCTATGAAAGGTGGTAGCACTTCCTCCGCTTTCTGGAACTTGCCCGTTGGATTTTGGCCCCTGTTGGTCCCAGAGACCAACTCCCCACTCATCACCTGCTGTGGCTGAGATGGGCACCTTGGGTTGAATGTCAACCCTGTCTCTGCTCTGGCTTCACAGGAGAACGCCCAGGACTGCGGGGGCACCGCGCACACCTCCGCCTCACTCCTCCAGCTCCTGCTGCCGCTCTGTGCCTGGGCGCCCTGGGCCTAGTCTGGACAGGCACCCTCCCATCCTTCCTATCCAGCATGAGTTCAACTTGGACCAAAAGAATTTAGTTCCATCTTTTCTCCAGAAGTCCAGACCCAGACAAAGAATGGGTCCACTATTTCTAATGAACATGTTTGGTCTTCTGTAGAATCCAAGGGCTTAAAGGTGCTGAGAAGGAGGAGCAGAATGACACCAACAGCAGAAATGAGATGAAGGCAAGAACTTGCCCATACCCAAAGCATGGCTTCCTTAAAGGGTGCTGTATGGTGGGGGCCATTTCAATTTCCTAGCTGCTGCCCAGAAAAGTTGTGTGTGAGAGAGATTTAAAGTAAGCAGGAGAGAAGGTGGGAAGTGAATAGTAATGGGAAAGACCCAGAATAAGAACATATATTAAATCCTTTTACATTAACATGGCTGCATGTGATGCCTGAAAATTGTAATTTAAAAACTTGAATCGTCTTTGCACAGCCCTAACTTAAAGGAACTTTTTGCATCTCTGTGAAAAAGCTGATAGGGTGGGACACAGCTGCTGCCCTGGAAGGTGATGTGGGTTGAGGGGAGGCGGCAGCAACAGCTGCGGCTGGGCAGGGCAGGGCCAGGACAGGAGCAGCCCTTACCATGGCCTGGTGAGGGACCTCCTGTGCTAGCACCAGGCACCCAGGAGGTCCGGGGCCCATGCAGGCTTGTTCTGACTGCTCATCTACCAGAGACCACCTGACTCTGTCCCTGGAGCTGGAGCTTCAGCAACATTCCAGTGTGCAAAGCTGAGTCTACCAGGGAGCCTTATCTGGGAACCTGCTTTCCGCATACACATGTCTGCCAGGGTCTGGAGGCCCTGAAGCTTCCTCCTCCCTTTCCTCAGACCTGGCTCCTGGGAGATAGCAGTGCCCACTGTGAGAACAATGTCAAATGCAGAACTGTATAGAAATCCTGGGGTGGCCTCAGACCGTAAGTTTCACCTACCTCCAAAAAGGAGGTCCAGCCGTCCCATGACAGGCACTGGCCCATGTGCAGGGCCGCAGGGGACGCTTCTTCCCAGCCCTCCACACTTTGAAGTTCAAGTTTTCCACCTGCAAATGGCCCCACAGTCCTCCGGAGTAGGCCAGCTCTGTGAAGGCATTCATTATGGGATGTGTAATGTACCTTACATTACAGATTATACACTTATTTTAACACCTTTGGAGTCCCACAACAGTCCTATGAGGCAGGCATTAGCAGCCCCTCAAAAGAGAGGGACTAACTCAGTCCCCTCCTTCAGCCCTCGTAAGCGGCAGAATAATGCCAGGAATAGCTACGGTTTAATAGCACAGGTAAGTAATGGGTATGAACTCACTCAATCGTCACAATGGCCCTCAAGTAGGTACCATTAGTAGCGCTGTATTACAGACCAGGAAACTGAAGCAGAGAGTTGAGTGAAAATTGGCTGCAAATTATTGGAAAAGTTATGTGAGGTTTGAATGTGATATGGCCTGGCACACGGTAAGCACTAGTCACCTATCGACCATGTGCCTTCTCTCATGGAGGAGGCAACAAAGGCATTAGTTTGGATGACAGCAACCGCAGGCGGACGTCAGGGGTGTCCAGCTGGCACAGGCGGTGAGAGGTGGCAGGACGCCCCTCCTCCAGCCCCCCAGGCAGACATAGCCAAAAGCAGCCCCACATGGTGTCATGAAGGGCTGGCAAGCACAGGCATGGCCTCAGGAGCACTTTCTAGCCCTTGGCCCAGCCCCTCCCTCCCAGGCCCATGGCCACCCACCTGGGGCACTAATATTCTTGCCTCTGACAGCATCTGACCTCAACTACCTGCTCCTAGACACCTGCTGCCCTCTCTTCCAGGACAGCAATCCAGTGTCATCTTCTGAAAGGCTCCTCTTCCCCTCCCACCCAGTGCAAGCACCTGCAGGCAAATCTATTAACTGTCTTGGCCATACAATTTAAATACCAAGCTTGGAAGGGCTGGGGCAACCCCTGGCCTTGTTTTGCCTGTTTCACCCCCAGGCCTCCCCATGGCCAGGAGTGGACTGTTAGATCTGGCAATCCCTTCTGAAGCAATGAAGGAAAAGCCACTTCCGACATGTTGACCATGTTCTTTGCCTGGGAGAACAGAATATTCTCCTGAGCTTTGCCTTCAGAGGCCAGAACTATTCTTACGCTTTCTACTTTTAACAGAACCACTAAAGGACAGCAGGTGGCAGCCTGGCTTAAGCTAAAGAACCATCACCTTGATTTCAGAGGAAGACAGTTAAAACCAGTCTTTCAATGAATGAATGACAAGATGCTGAGGGACAGAATCTTGAAATCCCTTTTCTTATAAACATTGTTCACCTTGGATGACTAAGAACCCAAGGCTACTGGCAGGCCCTCTGTCCTCAGGAGGATGTATATACCAGGGATATATTAACTACTGACTCCACATAATTTTGCATACTTTAATTGCTTTCAGGTAAAATGCATCAAGCACTTCGTAACATTAAGTGAAGTTCTGGGTCAAGAGGGCAGGAGAGTGGACATACCTTGAAGTCAGAAGAGTAAATATGGGGCAGGGGGTCACAGACCACAAAGGGGAGGAATGCGAGCAAGAGCTTAGCAGAAATGCCAGCCAATCACTAACACACACTGAGGAGTTTGAGAAATATTGATCTGTAAGAGCCATGGCATCTCAATGAAAAATGCAAAGGATATTTCATAAGGCCTATTTTAACAGGTGAGAAAATGGAGGCTAGGGAAATAAATGACTTCCTGCCTGTCACCTGGCAAGTGGCAGAACTGGGCTCTGAACCTGTTTCTAGGTCAGTGTAGCAGAGATGGTAGGTGGACAGGAGAGGCTTTCATGTTCACGCAGCTGAACCCCCACCCCCCTTCCTTGTTCCCCACCTCATGCCCTTACAAGCAGATGTTACAGGAGACAGACTGACCTTGTTTTCATCAAATAGTTGAGGGCAGGAAAATTTGTACATTAGGACATAAGGAACGGTAGTCAACAGTTCGTGCCCAGAAGGAAGGAAAATACAGAATGTGCTTTAACTGAAGCAAAATATTCTGGAGACAAGGGTATTATTTCTGGGATAATTTTAAAGCAACATTGCCTGGGGCTTCTCTATGCCACTTAGCCCTAGAAATAGTTCTATAAAGTTCAAACTTGTCCTTATTTATTCCCTTTACAGTATCCAGACATCACCCCAGAAAGGAAGCTCATGGATAGCTTTTAGCAAAAGGCTAGGAAAAAAACAAGTGAGTTATTTGTAGGCTTCAGCTTAGTATTCATCAAGAGCAGAATGTGACTCTGTGTTCTATGCCAGGATAATGTATGGAGAAACCCTTAAGTTGCATCTATACTTAAAAATGATAATTCAGAATGGATGTATTATCTAAATACTAGAAAATCCCCTGCAAAACTAAATTTACCTAAAGCAAAAGAGTTTGAGATTCCTCCCTTTTCTTAAATTACATAAAAGGGTTAACAAACCACAAAATTCTTAAGTGAATATACATGAGACTATGAAGTCTGAATTTCTCCTGTATGTAAAGAGCGCTGGCACAAGCATCGGGCTTCACCTTTCTAAGCTTCAGCTTCCTTACCCATGAAATGAGAAATAACACTAGTCAGCTCACAGGACAGTGGTTAGGTGCTGAGATATCCAAAGCCCATCATTGCACTGGGCATTATATCTATAGACCAGCAATAAATTAATAACTACCCCTTGCGTTAGCTCTAAACCCTGCCACTCTAAACCCGGTCCCAGTTGTGCTGAAGGCATGAGATTGGCTGGCAAACATGAGGTGTCATAAGCACTCTGGAGCGTTAGCTCTAAACCCTGCCACTCTAAACCCGGTCCCAGTTGTGCTGAAGGCATGAGATTGGCTGGCAAACATGAGGTGTCATAAGCACTCTGGTTCATGCATTCCAACTGGAAGTTTCTGAAAACTCCTTAGCTTCAGTGTCTTTCCAGTAGAAGTGCCAAGAGCTTTACAGAAATTAGCTATGGCAGTAAAAAAAATACACAACAAAGTTCATACTCCATTTGGCTCTTTTTATTAGAAGTTGAGAAGACAGCAAGTAGGGAAATCCCATGGTGAATGGAACTACCACACAGATGCCTTTCTGGAACCCCAACCTTCTATGATACTCAAAAATGTGCTTTGTGGCTTCAGCAATTTATAAAGAGGAAGGGGAAAAATACTGAAAAAGGCCACTATTTAAAGGTGAGAAGAATGAAGCTGTGGAGGTTCTAACTAGCCTAGGGTATAGGAAGAAAATTAAAAATCTGCAAAGCAAGCAAGCCTCTGATGCTGAGAGTAAGGCATTCAGGCGCCAACCTGGTGAGAGTTCTCAGCAAGCACTGTGGACTCAGTGCAGCGAGGCCGCGGGGAGTGAGCTGTGCACAGACACACGTGTAAATGGGCACACACGTCCCTATGTACACACCCTAAAGAGGGAGATTGTTATGTATGACACATTGCTGATGCTAATTTCATTTTCCCTAAGGGTTTGTGCTATGTTGAACCAGATTCAGCTCCTCCTGAGGGGGCTGGGCTCAGAGACTGCTCCTTTTTGGGGGGTGCTCACAGGCCTGCACCTCATACCCTGTACCCCCTGTAGCCAAAAGTGCATGACCGAAGAGTAAATCCGGCGTCTGATATGTGCTGTTACTTCTGAGGAACTGAGCTTCCTTCCAGGTGTCAACTATCCTGCTGGACTACGTCTCCTCTAAAGGGGTAATACTGACTCTTTCTGTCAGATGCTGCAACAGGCCACCCACTGCATCTTCCCCTGGGTCCGCCTAGCACCCAGGGCAGCGAGTTTATCTAGAACCACAAACCACAATATCCTCTTAAGTTCTTCCCAAGTTCTACAATGGATTCATTCTCCCTGCTTTTGCTGGAGATTGGAAGGGGAGAGAAAGGATAAAAATAACCAAGAAAAACTCTATACCAAATAGACACTTCCCATATTCCCAAACACCCATTAGAGGCTGCCAGCCCCTAGGTTTAGGGCTTCAATGTTAGTTCTAAAACCCACAGGCCCCAGGATGTAACTTAGTCACTTGTGTCTGGATGACAGTAAGCAACCTGAGACCCAAGTTCTATTTCGGTGGTTCACCTGTGAGCCAAGATCAGCAGACCCTTCCCCTGCCACACTCTCTGACACCATTAACGGGCACCTCATGGACACAAGAACTGTCTGTTACTCCCAGCAGCTCTTCATAGAGCGAGCTTTAAGGACTCTACCATGCTTCCTGGCAACAGCACACAGTTTCCTTTTAAAACTTCCCACCATGCTATTCTTAAGAAACAGGGCTCGGGAATGTTGGTAACTCCATGCACCGTACTGGGACCTGCTTTACAAGCGTTCTGCTGGCTTTCCTGTTCAAGGTGAGCTGATGTGTCTGTCAAGGCTTACCGAGACAGTGTTCCAGGTGAACTCCTCTCTTCTAATCCACAGCAGCACCCTCCCAACCTATCTTAAATGAGCTCAGGAGACAGAGACAGGTCAGGATCTCATTTGTGGCAGGGACTATGAGGCCATGGAAAGGTCAATTTTTATTCCCAGGAAGAGGAAGGGTGGTTAGGGCAGTGATTTTAAGAGAAGGACATTTCCAGGGTGTTCCAAAGCTCCACAGCAAGGACATGGAAAAATGTTACGTCCCTTTATCAGTGATTTTAAGAGAAGGACCTTTCCAGGGTGTTCCAAAGCTCCACAGCAAGGACATGGAAAAATGTTACGTCCCTTTATCAGATAAAGTTCCCACAAGGCTGAGTAGGATGCCAGTCTTCAGCCCAGTGCCATGCTAACACCTCCAGAGCTCTTCCCACTGTTCCCACTAGACCTCTGCCAGCACAATGGCCTTCTCCAAGCAGGTGGCTCTACCACTGGGAAAGGGTCCCTATTAGCACAGGGAAAAAATCAGTCTCTCAAACGACACCGTAACTAGAGCCTTTAACACATCCTGTTAGCCATTGCATGCTGCCTCCACTGGGAAAACAGCTGGCTTCCCTCTACCTCGGGACTCCCGAAGGCTCTTGGGCAGGAGTGGTCATGTGATCTCTGGGCGGGGGCCTGTCTCTGCCCCGCAGGGCCCAAGGTATGTCAGCCTTCAAAGGCACCTTGGTGCGCCAAGGCATTATACATTCTGGGCTATCACCTAACCCACCTACAGTCACTTCGTGCAAATGGAAACAGTGTGTGGTACTTGCTTGTTTCACTCTATACAAAAGTCCTCCCTCCCCTACCCCTTTGTTTTAAAGTTATATAAATTCTTATTTAAACAGTAAGTTAGAAATCTTACTTAAATTAATTTCTTTGTTCTCTCAAAAGAGTATCTTAAAATCACACTCCTGCCTCTTAATAGGCTATAAATGTTCACCTAATTGTTTGGTGTCATGGTTTCAAGGAGAGAGAAGGGAGAACAGGCCACCAGCTGCACTGTGTCCCCATCATCTAGAAATAAATACGACACAAGTCAGAGGCCCATCTGCCAAGGGTCCCGTAGAGCCTGCAACTGGCAGATCTCAAGAATAAGTCAGGGTCTGGGCCATTTCTCCTCTTCTCCAACTGATGCACTCCACCTTTGAGGTATGATTTATTTTTGTTTTTCTCTTCTCAGTCGTGTACCACGTGGAGCCCCCGGGGCGTCACCAAGCCCACGAGGCTGCCAAAGTTTGGGGCTCCTCTGGTACTGGCATCACTGGCCAGGAGGGGCAGAATGCAGGCGCTGGTTCAGGGTTACAGTCCCTGGCTTCTGGGAGGTGTCACAGTGCTTCCTCTTCACTGCAGCCGCCACCGACCATGAAGCGGAACTCCTGGAGGTTTGAGACACCATGGAAGTGAACAAAAGCGCCAGCGACCACGAAGATGTGAAACAGCTGATGAGAGTGGAACTGCAGGCAAAAAGGAGAACCTGCATTATTCACAGCCTGCTAGTGGTTCTTAAGATCACAAATGCTGATCAGAAGGCAGGGAATGGAGGCAACAGAACTCAATTCGAGGAGTCTACATACAGTGGAACCCCCATTAGGTATATCACATTCTGCTGAAGACCAGCTGTCCCCAACTCTGGATGTGACAACGTGCACACGCAGCACTAGAGTGTCTGGTGAGCTCAGGGGCAAATGATACATGACTCTCTTGCCAACAAACCACAAAGGCTCCAAGGATCCCTGGAGGCCTAGCAGTGGGCTACAGTGAGACACAGGGGTGTTTTCCTCAATGCTGATGGACGTTTTTGTCACGGACTGGTGCACCAGAGCTACAGTCATTTAAATGTTGCTCTGTTAGAAAAACTAAAGGGACTTCCAGGATTGGGTAGAAGGTTAAAACATGTGATGGCTAGAGTTTCCAAGAGCACCAAGGCTCTGGAGTTACACGACCAACATACTACATCAAAAGACTAGTGCCTTCTCAAATCAGAAACTGGCCTACACATATGTGATATTATGTTGAATTCTAGTTTAAATCTCAAAAAGGGGTTACCACCAATTGCTCAGTGCACCAAACATCACTTCAAATATACTGTTCTTTCATTATAGTCTCAAGATGAAAAAGTATAGTGGCAAAACAGTACTTATCAAAGGGAAGACACTGATTTTCAAAGTGTAAACTAGAAGGATCCACAGATCACAGCTGACAGACATGTTTCCTAGGAAATCAAAGAGAATTTGTTCTCACAAAAAAGGGGGATGAAGGTAAAAATTTCAATATCAATGTCAAAATTTTGATGGGGCAATCTCAGAAAAATGAATTAGTCAATGCCAAGCTAAAAGACTGCCTAATATGCATTATCTTCATTTACAGATAGCTAAAATTGAACTCCAAAAACACTAGAGTAACAGCTTAGTCTATAATTATCAACAAACTGAAGAACAGGATTCCAAAGATGACACTTCATATCAAGCACCACTCCATTTCTGTACTCTCGGAAATGTTTCAGGCCATCTTCAGTTAGACAGTTTTCCATCTCCTGGTCCTTCTATTTCCTTGGCCCCTTCTCTTTCCTCTTCTCTTACCATTAACCACAATCTAGTTGTCTCTACCTCCTCTGCCAAGCAAACACACACATACACACTCAGTCTCTCATTACAAAAATCCCTGCATTTGGTCATCAAAAAGGACTTTGGTACAAATCTGGTCCATCATCCTCATGTCATAAATGAGGAAACAGGGACAGACAATGACTAAGTAACTTGTTGGTACAGGGCAGCACGGAGGAGCACAGACTCTGGTATTGGTCTAGCATAATGCAAATCCGGCTCCTGCCACTTTAATAGCCAGGCACACTGGACAAGTTACCTCCTCTCCCTAAGCCTCGTCACCTCATCTGTAAAACACACACATAGTACTAATAGCTGTTACACCATCAGACCACATATTAAGTGAGGTGACTCATGTGAGGGGCCACCAGAACTGTGCTGGGCACAAGCAAGAGCTCAATATGTGTTAGTTATATTCACGCTTACCATCTAAGGGACTCAACTGATGAGGGAGAGGCTGAGCCTTAACTTTTGTCAGCTGTTTCACTTCCCAGCCTGCCAATGACCTGCTGACTGATACGTGTGTATGCACACTTACAGCCCCGATCATACTTACCCAGATGTCACACTTGCCAGGGAAGAAGCGTTCGGGGATGCGAGCAGCGTACAGGGCTGCTCCCGTGATATAGAGGCCGGCCATGAGCATCAGCCAGCCAATCTGCCCTATTGTGGCCGCCTTCAGGAACCCCTCCGAGATGACATAGTGCAAGGTAGGAATGATTCCACTCAGGCCGAGGCCCAAAAACACACCTAGGAGTCAAGAACAATAAGGTAAACATGCAGAAGAACAATACTGAAGGGGCCAGCACCTGTCCTTCCATAAAATGACTACTTAAGAAAGATGCAACCCAGCTTCTTGTTTGAGGGAAAAAGGTTCTTTAAACTTTGGGATATTGCCATACAAGACAGCACAGCTATGTTCCAAAAGGCAAATCTACTTACAAATGCAAGGAGCCTCCTACTGAGAGAGGTTTAGCTTAAGATCATCAAAGCATTTAGAATTATGTTGCTAAATGTTTTAGGAACAGACAGCTCTAAAGGGTTTGTTAAAACCTCTCTAAATGCTGCTGATTTATAGACACAGATTACAATACAGAGCAATTTTACACACTTTCTCTTCCCTTTGAAGCAACAGATATTCCTGTGATGGAAGGACAGGAAAAGAGTGGAGGAGGCAAGAGAGGGTGGAGGGGAGCCACTTCTGACACTGGTAGGCCCAGAAGTACCAATCGGGAACAGAAGTCCATCAGATACACTTCACCCGCCCTGCTTCCCTCAAAACCATACCATGGACAGCAGTGTTTGTCCAACTTCTGGATACAATATAACTTTTATAATATCAACTGAGTCTGAATCAGCTTTTTTTAAATGAACTAGAATATAATAAAAAATAGACTGTATCCCAAGTGGATGGTTAAGGACTAAGTTGTAAAGGTTTATAATTTATATACATGTGAATTTATGTATACATATACATGTTCAGGGTTGTAAGATAAAATGTCACGATCTAAAATCATTTTGAAATCAACCGAGGCACCTGGTAGCAGGAGCTCCTGGCAGCAGCCTGTAACTACTCCTTCATTTTGACAGAGAGTTAAGAATGACCCTTGAAAACAGACTATCATTTGGTAAGCTTTCTCAAAGACAAGGAGCCTATACTTGCGCTTTGCACATTGCCAATTAAGGGGCTTGCATGCAGCAACGTAAGTATGCATACTCATGAATAAAACGGGCACGTGCAAGAGATTAGGAAAATGGCAATGTGCATCTCACAAGAGGAAGGACTCAAGCAGGCCTATCTCCTGCCTCTAATCCTCACTAAAAAAAATCATATGATCCTGTTTTTTCATTTGCTCTTTTCCTCCACATGCTAGAAGTAAAGGTTGCTAATGGTCTTCCCTCTCATTCTCTAGTCAAAGGCTCAGGATCTTGGCTCTTCTGATGTGAACAGAGAGCACAATGTTCGACTCTACATAGCAAACATGCTCCTATCTCATGTGCTCAAGCAGGCTTAATAACACAGTTAAGTATGACTGAAAGCCAACCCCGCCACTGCTCATCTGCTGATACACACACTTAAAAGGGAAGAGGGTGGAGTGCTGTTGACTGTGGTCATTAACACTGAATTCTCATTTCTGACCTTCTAGATAACTGCAGATGAACCATGGCCTGGATTTTAATACTAGCTTAAAACAGAAAATGCCAAAAGAAAAAATACTCCTTTTAATGCTTCCTGTTCATTCTCAGTATGTGTACTGGGTTTGCTACTAGGATACAAATTGAAGACATAGCCCTGGATACAAAGGGTCCCCTGTCCAGTGGGATAAAAAAATGTGCTCCAACAACTCTACTTCTACAGAAAGGATCAACATAGGCACACAGAGGCTTTTGGCTTTCTTTCTTATCTCTAGCTAAACAGGCATTATCCTAAACATAAAAGGTCTCTTTATCTCTACATCAGAAGAGATGCATGGTGCCCACATTAGCAAAACATAATCAGTCTATAGTAAAGTATTACTTACCTAAGCAGATTACACATCTTAAAATAAAAATACAAAAGAAAATTAACAACAACAAAAGGAACCAATCGTTACGAGGACACTCCTTGCTGAAAGAGTAAGAGGAATCAATATACTTTCCAAAGGTTGAGGAGCCACTCCCTCATGGGCAAGTGTATGGCCATAAACTCAAGTAAACTACACTCCCACACACATCAGATCACATAGCCCACCAATGCCCCTCAACTTCAAAGCTCTCAGATGAATGAACATACTACATTAAATGCCCTAAAGAACAGGAACTATGATTCATCTTTATATCACAATGGAGAGCGGAATGCCTGGCAAATAGACTTTGAACAAATGACTGGTAAATAAATTAATGTCCCATGCAAGGCCTACACATGCTCTTACCTGCTCTTACTCCTCGATACTGAGGGGTGGCAAACATGTCCCACTGGGAGACTATAATGGCTGCGATGCCCAGCACACAGATGACAATCAAGTAGATGAAGCAAGGTTGTGGGTTACAGTAGAAAGAATAATAAAGCCAGGGAACAAAACTTCCCATAATCAGAAGAGCAATGCCAGAGTAATCCAGTCTAGGACAGAAAAGAAATCCAGTTAATGTTAAAAATTATTGTCCACCACTGGTTCCGATTTATCCCCCAATGACATGAATTCGCAATAACAGCTAAGAGGCAAGCTGGGGTGCCTGCTTTAATGTAAAAACAAAAAAAAAAGCCCCCATCATATGGTGTCAAGAATTCAACCAACTCTGCTGGATGTTTCTCTCTAACCCAACTGAGACCCTTAATCACTGACCAAACTGTGGGCGTTAGACACTTACTTTGAGAAGAGCCGGGAGACCCCTTCTGAGTGGCAGTAGACTGTGTGGAAGAGCCAGGAAAAAGAAAGGCAGAGGATGGCCCCCAAGAAGAACAATCCAAAGACGACCTTCTCTTGCAGTGGGGCCACAAAAGAGATGTTTGGGCGAAACATATAAAAGATCCCCAGGCACAGGAAGAACACACAACCTAGGAGAAAACAAGAGGAAGATTGTCCTTTTGAAAAAACAGTGTTATATGTTGATTATATTTTCAGTCCGTCACAATCACAATGATACTGCATCAAAGTTCCACAAGAAGAAATTTCCAAACAACTGAAGCTTATCCAAAACTGTGGCCTACTTCAAGCATTACTGTTATCATATACTCCTCAACTTTATAAATTGAGTATGCAGAATATAACAACTTATTTACCTAGGAAGAAAAATCCAAAGAAACTGACAATGCTGCCACTTCTTAGAGCTAGTATGAAAATTCATGTATGAAGTTCTTGGCACATATGACTCATAGACACTGAGAAATGACTGATGGTTACCATGGGCAAGGGGTTGTGGAGGTGGGTAACGAGGTGAAGGGGAGGAACAGGCAGAAAATCTCAATCATTACATGAATCAGTCATGGAGATGAAAGTACAGAACAGAGAATATAGTCAATCGTTCCATAACCTCTATCTATGTTGACAGATAGAACTATAGTAGTTGGGGTGAGCACTTAACAATGTCCAATCACTAAGTTGTATACTTGAAACCAATATAATACTATATATCAACTACAGGTAATAAAAATAATTTTTAATAGAATATTTTACATTTGCCAAAAAATAAATTAAGGACAGTAAAATGCCTATTCAGGCTACTTCACAACCAGATTTTAAACTGTTCTTCACAGTAAGATACCATGTTCTTAATTGCTTGGGAAAGGGCCACGTAACACAAGGAAGGCACAGAATTAAGAAGTTAAACACTAGCTAACTGATTCCATCTGACCCATGTAATTAAACATTTGCCCTGCAGTTATCAGGAGCCACAAATTTGACTTGATTCTCTATTCTGTTCTCACTACACTAGCAGGCAGGAATTTGGGAGCACGTTGGAAATCAAATCTGTGATAAGATATGCAAGTCAAATGGGGTAAAGCCAAAAACTATTTAGTATATTTACAAGGTCATGTGACCATCAGCACTATTTAATTTCAGAACATTTTCACCACCCTGAAAAAAGCCCCTACCTGTTACAGTCACCTCCCACTTTCACACACGCGGCCCCACCCCAAACCTTGACACAATGATCAGCTTTCTGTCTCTAAGGATTTCCCATTCTGGGCATTTTCTGTATGGATCATACAATATGCAGCCTTTTGTTTCTGGCTTCTTCCATTTAGCATAATGTTTTCAAGGCTCCCCAAGTTGCAGCACAAATCAGTACTTCATCCCCCTATTTTTTTTCTACTTTTATTTTACATATTTATTTTTTTGGTATCATTAATCTACAATTACATGAGGAAGATTATGTTTACTACACTCCCCTCATCACCAAGTTCCCCCCACATACCCCATTACAGTCACTGTCCATCAGCGTAGATGTTGTAGAATCACCATTTCACTTCTCTGTGTTGTACAGCCCTCCCTGTGCCCCTCCCCCCACATTACACACGCTAATCATAATGCCCCCTTTCTTTTTTCCTCCCACTTATCCCTTCCTTCCCACCCATCCTCCCCAGTCCCTTTCCCTTTGGTAACTGTTAGTCCATTCTTGGGTTCTGTGAGTCTTCTGCTGTTTTGCTCCTTCAGTTTTTTCCTTGTTCTTATACTCCACAGATGAGTGAAATCATTTGATACTTGTCTTTCTCCACCTCACTTATTTCACTGAGCATAACACCCTCTAGCTCCATCCATGTTGTTGCAAATGTTAGAATGTTTTCTTCTTATGGCTGAATAATATTCCATTGTGTATATGTATCACCTCTTCTTTATACATTCATCTACTGATGGACACTTAGGTTGCTTCCATTTCTTGGCTATTGTGAATAGTGCTGCGATAAACATAGGGGTGCATACGTCTTTTTCAAACTGGGCTGCTGCATTCTTAGGGTAAATTCCTAGGGGTGGAATTCCTGAGTCAAATGGTATTCCTATTTTGAGTTTTTTGAGGAACCTCCATACTGCTTTCCACAATGGCTGAACTAATTTGCATTCCCACCAGCAGTATAGGAGGGTTCCCCTTTCTGCACATCCTTGACAACATTTGTTGTTTTTGTCTTTCAGATGGTGGTGATCCTTACTAGTGTGAGGTGATTATTTCATTGTGGTTTTAATTTGCATTTCTCTGATGATTAGCAATGCAGAGCATCTTTTCATGTGTCTGTTGGCCATCTGAATTTCTTCTTTGGAAAACTGTTCAGCTCCTCTGCCCATTTTTTAATTGGATTATTTGCTTTTTGTTTGTTGAGGTGCATGAGCTCTTTATATATTTTGGATGTCAAGCCTTTATCAGATCTGTCATTTATGAATATATTCTCCCATACAGTAGGATTCCTTTTTGTTCTATTGATGGTGCCCTTTGCTGTACAGAAGCTTTTCAGTTTGATGTAGTCCCACTTGTTCATTTTTGCTTTTGTTTCCCTTGTGGGGGGAGATATGTTCATGAAGAAGTTGCTCATATTTATGTCCAAAAGATTTTTGCTTATGTTTTTTTCTAAGAGTTTAATGGTTTCATGACTTACATTCAGGTCTTTGATCCATTTTGAATTAACTTTTGTGTATGGAGTTAGACAGTGATCCAGTTTCATTTTCTTACATGTAGCTGTCCAGTTTTGCCAATACCAGCTGTTGAAGAGGTTGTCATTTCCCCACTGTATGCCCATGGCTTCTATATCATAGATTAATTGACCATATATGTTTGGGTTAATATATGGACTTTCTATTCTGTTCCACTGGTCTGTGGGTCTATTCTTGTGCCAGTACCAAATTGTCTTGATTATTGTGGCTTTGTAGTATAGCTTGAAGTTGGGTAGTGAGATCCCCCCTGCTTTATTCTTCCTTCTCAGAATTGCTTTGGCTATTCAGGGTCTTTTGTTCGTTGAAGACTGTTGGTATTTTGATAGGAAATGCATTGAATCTGTAGATTGCTTTAGGCAGGATGGCCATTTTGACAATATTAATTCTTCCTAGCCAAGAGCATGGGATGAGTTTCCATTTGTTTGTGTCCTCTTTAACTTCTCTTAAGAGTGTCTTGTAGTCTTTCACTTCCTTGGTTAGGTTTATTCCTAGGTATTTTATTCTTTTTGATGCAATTGTGAATGGAATTGTTTTCCTGATTTCTCTTTCTGCTACCTCATCGTTAGTGTATAGGAAAGCAACAGATTTCTGTGTAATAATTTTGTATCCTGAAACTTTGCTGAATTCAGATATTAGTTCTAGTAGTTTTGGAGTGGAGTCTTTAGGATTTTTTATGTACAATATCATGTCATATGCAAATAGTGACAGTTTGACTTCTTCGTTACCAATCTTGATTCCTTGTATTTCTTTGTTTTGTCTTATTGCCACAGCCAGGACCTCCAGTACTATGTTGAATAACAGTGGGGAGAGTGGGCATCCCTGTCTTGTTCCCGATTTTAGAGGAAAAGTTTTCAGCTTCTAGCTGTTAAGCATGATGTTGGCTGTGGGTTTATCATATATGGCCTTTATTATGTTGAGGCACTTGCCCTCTATACCCATTTTGCTGAGAGTTTTTATCATGAATGGATGTTGAGTTTTGTCGAATGCTTTTTCAGCATCTATGTGGTTTTTGTCCTTCTTTTTGTTTATGTGGTGGATGATGTTGGTGTATTTTTTCATTTTGTACCATCCTTGCATCCCTGAGATGAATCCCACTTGATCATGGTGTATGATCTTCTTGATGTATTTTTTAATTTAGTTTGCTAATATTTTGTTGTGTACTTTTGCATCTATGTTCATCAGGGATATTGGTCTGTAATTCTCTTTTTTTGTGGGGTCTTTGCCTGATTTTGGTATTAGAGTGATGCATGCTGCTTCACAGAATGAGTTTGGAAGTATTTCCTCCTCTTCTATTTTTTGGAAAATTTTAAGAAGAATGGGTATTATGTCTTCTCTGTATGTGTGATAAAATTCAGCAGTGACTCCATCTGGCCCAGGGGTTTTGTTCTTGGCTATATTTCAATTACCGATTCAATTTCTTTGCTGGTAATTGGTCTGTTTAGATTTTCTGTTTCTTCCTTGGTCATTCTTGGAAGGTTGTATTTTTCTAGTAAGTTGTCCATTTCTTCTACATTTTCCAGCTTGTTAGCATATAGATTTTCATAGTATTCTCCAATAATTTTTTGTATTTCTGTGAGGTCCACTGTGATTTTTCCTTTCTCATTTCTGATTCTGTTGATGTGTGCAGATTCTCTTTTTCTCTTAATAGGTCTGGATAGGGGCTTATCTACTTTATTTTCTCAAAGAACCAGCTCTTGGTTTCATTAATCTTTTTTATTGTTTTATTCTTCTCAATTTTATTTATTTCTTCTCTGATTTTTATTATGTCCCTCCTTCTGCTGACTTTGGGCATCATTTGTTCTTCTTTTTCTAATTTCAATAATTGTGACTTTAGACTATTTATTTGGGATCATTCTTCCTTCTTTAAATAGGCCTGGATTGCTATATACTTTCCCCTTAGAACTGCCTTCGTTGTGTCCCACAGAAGTTGGGGCTTTGTGGTGTTGTTGTCATTTGTCTCTACATAGTGCTTGATCTCTGTTTTAATTTGGTCATTGATCCACTGATTATTTAGGAGCATATTGTTAAGCCTCCATGTGTTTGTGAGCTTTCTTGTTTTCTTTGTAGAATTTATTTCTAGTTTTATGCCTTTGTGGTCTGAAAAGTTGGTTGGTAGAATTTCAGTCTTTTTGAATTTACTGAGGCTCTTTTTGTGGCCTAGCATATGGTCTATTCTGGAAAATGTTCCATGTGCACTTGAGAAGAATGTGTATTCTGTTGCTTTTGGGTGTAGAGTTCTGTAGATGTCTGTTGAGTCCATCTGTTCTAGTATGTTGTTCTGGGCCTCTGTGTTCTTACTTATTTTCTGTCTGGTGGATCTGTCCTTTGGAGTGAGTAGTGTGTTGAAGTCTCCTAGAATGAATGCATTGGATTCTATTTCCTCCTTTAGTTCTGTTAGTATTTGTTTCACATATGTCGGTGCTCCTGTGTTCGGTGCATACATATTTATAATGGTTATATCCTCTTGTTGGACTGAGCCCTTTATCATTATGTAATGTCCTTCTTTGTCTCTTGTTACTTTCTTTGTTTTGAAGTCTATTTTTTCTGCTACAAGTACTGCAACACCTGCTTTTTTCTCCCTATTGTTTGCATGAAGTATCTTTTTCCATCCCTTCACTTTTAGTCTGTGTATGTCTTTGGGTTTGAGGTGTGTCTCTTGTAAGCAGCATATAGATGGCGCTTGCTTTTTTATCCATTCTATTACTCTGTGTCTTTTCATTGGTGCATTTACATTTAGGCTGATTATTGAAAGATATGTACTTATTGCCATTGCAGGCTTTAGATTCATGGTTACGAAAGGTTCAGGGTAGCTTCTTTACTATCTAACCATCTAACTTAACTCTAGCTATTATAAACACAGTCTGATGATTCTTTATTTCTCTCCAATCTTATTCCTCCTCCTCCATTCTTTATATGTTAGGTGTTTTATTCTGTACTCTTTTTTGTTTTCTTTGACTGCTTTTGTGAGTAGTTGATTTTATTTTTTGCCTTTAGTTAGTATTTGATTGGTCTGCTTTCTTTGTTGTCATTTTATTTTCTCTGTTGACATCTCTTTAACCTTAGGAGTGCTTCCATCTAGAGCAGTCCCTCTAAAATACCCTGTAGAGGTGGTTTGTGGGAGGTAAATTCCCTCAACTTTTGCTTGAATTATTTAATCCCTCCTTCATATTTGGATGATAATCGTGCTGGATACAGTATTCTTGGTTCAAAGCCCTTCTGTTTCATTGCATTAAATATCTCATGCCATTCTCTTCTGGCCTCTAAGGTTTCTGTTGAGATGTCTGATGACAGCCTGATGGGGTTTCCTTTGTAGGTGACCTTTTTTCTCTCTCTGGTTGCCTTTAATATTCTGTCCTTGTATTTGATCTTTGCCATTTTAATTATATGTCTTGGTGTTGTCCTCCTTGGGTCCCTTGTTTTGGGAGTTCTGTCGGCTTCCATGGTCTGAGAGACTATTTCCTCCCCCAGTTTGGCGAAGTTTTCAGCAATTATTTCTTCAAAGACACTTTCTATCCCTTTTTCTCTCTCTTCTTCTTCTGGTACTCCTATAACGTGAATATTGTTCTGTTTGGATTGGTCACACAGTCCTCTTAATATTCTTTCATTCCTGGAGATCCTTTTATCTCTCTCTGCTTCAGCTTCTCTGTGTTCCTGTTCTCTGATTTCTATTCTATTAATGGCCTTTTGCACCTCATCCAGTCTGCTCTTAAGTCCTTCCAGAGATTGTTTTTTTCTGTGTTCTCCCTCTCAACTTGATCCTTTAGCTCTTGCATATTTCTCTGCAGGTCCATCAGCATGGTTATGACCTTTATTTTGAATTATTTTTCAGGAAGATTGGTTAAATCTATCTCCCTAGGCCCTCTCTCAGGGGTTGTCTGGGTAATTCTTGACTGGACCAAATTCTTCTGCCTTTTCATGGCAACAGAGGTAGCTGTAGGTTGGTAGCGTGTGTGTCAGCTGGAGAAGAAAGTCCCTTCCTATTTATTGGCTGCCTTGCCCTTCTCCGCTGCCTGTGTTGGTTACCCGCACACCCGGAGCTGTCTCCAAATCAATCCCCTAAGCTACTGTGGGCGGGGTCACCATCAGGGTAGCCCAGAGCCCTGCAGGGAGTGGCAGGCACACCAGGTGTGCTCTCCTGTCAGAACAATGCCCCTTTGCACCTTGCCCCCATTTCCTCTGCCTGCGCTGGGCAGCTGTGCACCAGCGGTGGCCACTGGGTCTGGCCCAGGCAGCTGCACACTGTGAGGAGATTCTGGGCGGTTGCTGTGGGTGTGTCCACTCTGACTGCTCCGCCTATGCGGGCATGCGTGGCCACCTCTCGGGCTGCTCTGCCTATCTGGGCAGGCACAGCCGCTCTCTGGCTGTTCAGCTACTGTGTTGGGGCCGCACCGGCCAGGGGAACGACTGGCAGGCTGTCTATCCCCGTGAGGAGCTTCAAGGCTGCATTGTCACCCAGGGGGTTAGGGCGCCTGAAGTTCCCTGGGATTCCCAGCTGCTGGGCCCAGGGTGCCGGGATGCTTCCGTCCAGCTGTGAGGCCCCTGTCCCTTTAAGATTTTCAAAAAGCACTCACTTTTTTTTGTCCCAAGGGAGCTGGCTGCAGGGACCCACTTACAGATTTTACTTTTCCTTTTCTCTAATATCCAGCACGCCATTCATTTTGTGTCTGCGCTCCCGGTGCAGATTACTAGAGCTGGTTATTTAGCAGTCCTGGGCTTCCACTCCTTCCCCGCTCCTACTCCTTTCCTCCCGCAGGGGAGCTGGGTCGTGGCTTGTACCTTACCCCCTTCGTGAGATGCCAAGGTCTCGCAGATGTAGATGTAGCCTGGCTGTTGTACTGTAGTCACTGGTCTATCTTTTAGGAATAGTTGTATTTGTTGTATTTTCAAAAATATATATGGTTTTGGGAGGAGATTTCTGCTGCCCTGTTCACATCATCTTGGCTCCTCCTCCATAGAAGGACCCGTAACAGTTACTGTCCATCAGCTTATTAAGATGGTACAGAGTCACTACTTGTCTTCTCTGTGCTATACTCTACTTCATTCCTTTTTATGGCCAAACAATATTTCATTGTATGGATACACCAAATTTCACATATCCATTCATCAGTTAATAGATATTTGGGTTGTTTCCAATTTTTACTTATTATGAATGCTGCTGCTAAATCATCACATTTTCAATTTTCTTGAGTGTATACCTAAGGAGGAGGGCTGCTGGTAACTCTTGTTTATCTTTCTGAGGAACTACCAAACTGTTTCCATAGGGTCTGTGCCACTTTACATTCCTACCAGCAATATTTGAGAGTTCTAACTTCCCCACATTCTTGCCAAGACTTGTTGTTATTTTCTATTTTCTTGATTAGAGCCATTCTAATGAGTATGGAGTAGCATCTCATTATATTTCTCAAAGTATTTGATTTCCACTTCCCAAAATGACCTATGATGCTAAACACCTTTTCATCTGTTTATTGGCCAGCCATGGATCTTCTCTGGAGAAATGTCTACTCAGGTGCTGTTTTTTTTAATTGGGTTGTCTTTTTACTGTCTAGTTGTAAGAGTTCTTAACTATACTTACTATCCCCTTAACAGATATATGATTTGCAAATATTTTCTCCCATTCTGTAGGTTACTTTTTTTTCTTTCTTGATAATGTCCTTTGACATACAAAAGGTTTTAATTTTGAAGAAGTCTAACTTATCTATTCTTCTGCTTTGGTTGCTTATGCCTTGGTTGTCAATTCTAAGAAACTCTCCTAATCCAAGGTCACAAAGATTGACATCTATGTTTTCTCCTAATGGTTTTGTAGTATGAATTCTGTTTAGGCCTTTGATCCATTTTGAGTTAATTTTTGTATATGGTGGGAGGAAAGGGTCCAAACTTCATTTTTTACATGTAGTTACTCAGTTTCCTCAATACCCTATGTTAGAAGACTGTTTTTCTTCCATTGTACTTCTTTAATATCAATCATGACAGAAAAAAAATAATATAGATCACATTCTACTTCAAGCCAAAATGAAATTTAGTTTTGAATATTCTATTTAATGACCTTGAAAAATCAGTTGACTTTTATTAAATACCTTCTTCTCAGTGTCCACTGAAACATTATACCATATTTTGTATACCTTTTCCCTGGCTATGTTCGAGGATACTGTCTGAAAATCTGTTAGAGAAAAATATGACTTAGTTGTAATAAAACCAGTGCAAATTAGGATAACCACAGAGTAAAAACAGTGAGAAACTATATCATTAGAAATCCAGAAAACAAAATGGCAAATCCCAAATATAGTTTTAAGTTGTCCTTACCCTCAAATACATAAAAAGTAAAATAAAATGAATCACCAGTTCATTACACCATTGATATTTGATACCTAAGAGATGTGTCCAGATGTTGCCTGTCTCTGTGTGTATCCTGAAAATGCTCTTAAAACAGGCCCGAAAAGAAGGCATAGGGGGCCGGTGTCCATGCAGAAGGAAGTCATTATCCTTGAGCCAATCTGGTAGCACATCATGAGCAATTACTCGCCATCGACCTTCCCATACCTGCAAGAAAAACATTCCCAAATACCTTTGAGTTTATCTCAAAAACCTTTCAGACAGATTTTAATTGTCAGTTTAGCAACACTGGTCCCAAACACCCACCTCTTATCACATTGTCTTATAATGGGAAAAATAACCTGTTTTTCAAAAGAGAAAATACATTCAAAATGTAGAATGTCCTGTATTCTTAGTTTTCAAAAAACAGATTAATGAAAAAAATATAGAACATGTCCCAAAGAGTGGTTTCAAGCTTTGTTTCAGTCTGGCTAAAGGTAACATGAGTGGTCCAAAGTCCCACCTACACAGATTCCCTCACTCATCTTTCACAATAACCTTGACCTCTGGAAAATCCTGTGACAGTAATAACTACTTTTATACTTAGTACTCCTATTGGTGGGAAAAAAAACCCCCACAAACAATCACACTTTTGTGCCTTTTGCTAAAATCTCTCCCTGTCCCTTTTCTTCCTACTAGAGCAAATATGGTGAAGTAAAAAAGCACAGAAATTAGAAAAACTTGGATCACTGCCTTTAACTAGTTGAAGAGCTTTAATTAATCACAAAACCACCAAGCCTCAGCTTCCTCACATATAAAAAGAATAATAGTGCTTTACTTCATAAGGAAGTTATGAGGATTGAATGAAATGACCCAAAGCACTTCATAAATGAGTTAGTGAACCCCAACGTCAACCCCACGGTGGTATGTAGTGGTGACCATGCCCAGGGCTGACACCTGAGGGCTGTGATGAATGCCCCCTCATGCTGTCAAGACATCAGTGCAGAATGGCCTCCACTGCATTTTCATCCCTTCCCCCACCTTCTCCCTTTTCCTCACTGTGCCTCCCCCATCAGACTCTAAAGGAAAAGGGCTCAGGAGTTCAATATCCCCTCCTTAAGCAGTGTCAACCTCTCCACTCAGTTTCTGTTAATGGTTCTCAGCCTAGAGAGCCCAAACCACAAAGATCATTTAATCCTAACATAATTTGCCTCCACTACCCAGAAAGATGGGAGGGAAAATGCCAGGTGTACTTGCAGACTTCAGTGTCAGACCATGACCCCTCATACACATACACATACACTAGGGTTCTTGTGACAAACAATGTGGCTAGGCCACACAAATGAGGCTCTATTATGCAGAAAGACTGCCACTGATCTGCCAGCTACTGAGCCCATTCTCTTTTTTCACTCTACAACAGTTTTCTATCTCTGCTCCCCTCAATCCTTCCTTGATATTTATACAAGAATTGATGCTCTGGGTAACTCCAAAGGCAGAGAGGACTGTTAGTCCTCTGAAACTGTTAATTTAAGATCAGCAGTGGCCCTCTTAACACTGTAGTCAAACTTATTCTCTCTACCCTCCCCCTTCCCCTCTCACTGCCCAACTCAAAATCTGAGGCCTCTGGTTAGTGGTATTAATCTGGCCATTCCATGCTTGCTCCAACATATAACAGAATAAAATAATCCCAGCAGACTAATCTAGATTTTTAATGTCCACTGCTAGTAGTACTACCACTTGTAAAAAATAGCTATTTCATATATCTTCCACAGGACTTTCTGGAGAGAAAGAGAGAGACACACCAAGATATCAAATTTCTTTTATCTATTTGAATTTGAGAAAAGACAGTATTGTTGAGATCGACCTTACAAAGTGTTGCTACTCTGTTTCACTTCAGGAGAATTTTTTTCTAAGAGGACCAGGAAGATGGGAATCAATCCTTACATACTCAAGGCAGTTCACAATGTGCAAACAGCTCTGCTGTGACCATATGAAAAGTGTTATTGTGTTACCACACACAGCCAGAATAGTCAAATGCTCCCTTTTTATAGTCAGAAGATGTTGGTTTCTTGTTATATATGCATACATCAGTGATTTTTTTTCCCATTGTTTCTAAACAAACATACTAGTGATCTAAAAACTGAGCCAAGCAGCTGCACTTTCCTAATTATACTGGAATTAGTATCACAGTCAACAGACACTGCACCCCCATTCTCAACCTGGAGTCAAGCCAAATGCCAACCCAAGCAGGTATCCCCTTTCACCCCCTGGGAAAAAAAGAACAGGATTACAGCTTAGCCAAAAACAGATTTATTTAAAAGCCTGACAAGCTCACTACCTAAATCAAACATCTTAGCAATGGTCCACTGGGTGTGTGTTAGAGAACATCTAATGCACAAAACATAATTTTAAAAAAACACCTCCTATTCCCACATAGGCTTGGCTAGGCTGGTAAAATAGCCAACAAGTGAAGGCTGGAAAAAAGAGAGACAGATCAAACTTGGACATTCCATTAAAACTGAATGATTTTATCTCCCCTATTCCTGTAAGAAAAGCATCTCCAAAAGGGAAAGAACGCCAGTCAGACCACAGGATACTTCATTTTATACTGTCTCTGTTCACTTGCCTCCAGTCTAAGAAATAGATCCTTGTGTCACTAGACATGGCTAGTTTTCAAGAGCCCCTGGAGAACACGTACAATAGGAAGCACCCTCACTCTGTTCTCACGAACAACTAGGGGATGGTAAGAGAATGGTAGTGACTTTTGTGCCCCACTCATTTTTCTTCAGTAAATTATAGTTTCTAGCAAGCAAATGTTCTATTTATTCCCCATTAGCTGTTAAATTCAAAGTTTTATTTGCTTCATTCTTCACTCAGAGTTCAAACAGGGAGAACAAAAAGGCACACAAGTTAGTGACAGTACCCCACTGATCTATAAATACGAAAAATCCCTAAAGGCCCAGACACTAAATACTCAACTTTGAGAGTCGTAACACCAAACTTGCTTTTTCAAAAACTTCTTTTTGAAACTAAACCTTTTGTATGATTTTGTGCTAATTCTCTTATGACAGCAATCACTAGAATGGATCTGTCATCTTACTTGGCTTTTCCTTGACTAAAGAAATAGATCCACAATGTTTGTACTCCTCCCTTACCATTCCCCACCCATCCCTTTATTGTGGAAGGAATATCTATATTCAGATTATAATGCTCTCTTCTCATCCTCTAGTTCAAACTGGTCCCAATTATTTCTAGCATCACTGTGAATGTAGGAAAACCTAATTGAGTTTTCAGGATCTAAGACCACATGCATAAAAAATAAAAAATAAAAAGCTTTGGTTTCATAAAACCTATGAAAAAGCTATCACAAAAATTTCTCTCTAAATGATCAAGAGTTACACAGAAATGTTTAATAAAAGAGTATATGCATACACCCACACACAGACTCACTTACACAGACTTTAAATCATATTTGGCAGGGCCCCTGTTCATCAGATTAATCAAGTGGCTATAAATTTATGTCCTTGATTATTTTCTCTAGGCAAGCAATCCCAATTCTAGTTACCATTTTAGCAGGGAAAAAATCCCCACAAAAGATTCTAATGAATCAGATAGTGAATTGGAGGAAAAAACTTAGAGACAGAAAATATACCAGCTAAACTGAAAATATTAGATGTGCATTAAAACTGGGAAACAGTTCTATCTTAAGGGTAGTTTAATTACCCATAGGATCCCTAGAAAGAAAAGCACGTTTGCCATCACAAACAGCAGAACAGATTCAAAGGACTTGGAGTTGGCATGTTAGTATCTCCAGTCATCAACCGCCATCAATTTTTCATCCTATCTTCTCTAAACAATCGATAAGACATCTACCCTGTTAACCTCTATCAGGAAAGACTGAAACAAGTCTTACACCAGTTGGATATTCTAGTTTTATCAAAACTTCATCATGTCTACTGCAAACAAATATATTTTGCCTTGAATAGGTGTAGGGAAAATGGAAGTTCCATGGCCAGGATCCTCACCTGATACCCACTGTGTATGCACAATGAGGTAACACTTAGCCAACTACCCGGGCGCATGCCTGCATACCTGTTGGCAATAAGCTATTTACAGTGGGTATTGCTTTAAGAGTTCCTCCTGGTGCCAGGGCAAAGAGAAGCAGGAGAGAGGGGAGCAGAGGCTGAGCCAGGAGCAGTGACAAATGGATCATATTCCAGCACTTAACCTACTGCCATGAGATTAAGCTTGATATGAGCCCCTTTTTACCCACAATGTTCTGTCGTTGTTACTCGGTCTCACCAAATACATAGTGAACTTGCTTAGAGCTGGGCGCCCCCTCCAGCCCAGAGCTACAACAGTCAAAGTCCTGAGATTGCTTCTGCCTCCATTTTGCCAGATCATTGCCAAAGCAAACCAAAGGCTAAGGAACTATCATTCTTTTTAAAGGTTGCTGTTTAGGAAGGGTTAAATACATAGCATGGAAATACCAAGAAACTGCCATCTTACCTTACAAACAAACTCTTCCATTCTTTCCATAGCATGATGGGCTTGTAAAAGAGGAGACATGCCCATAAACCCCTCATCTTCCGGAGAAGCTTCATCATTGCACTCATGCTCCTCAGGGCTCTGCAAGGCAATCACAGACAGTCAGGGACAGAGACCAGGAATGAAATGAAACAATCAATCAATACACTTTCCTTGAAGAATTACAGTGAAATTCTCTTTAGGTCCAAAAAAGGCCACAGGCAAATAATAAAGGAAGTAGAGAGAGTTTATTATAGAATTGTGTTAAGTACTAAAAATGAAAACTATTACTCAATTCTCCAACAAATAAACTACAACAGCAGCATGTCTGTGTTTGTTTCAGTAGCAAATTCCTGGGGCAGCTTGAATGGTTCGTTTTTATGTTGGTAAGGCCCATAACGTTATTAAAGTTGAGAAATTACTGAGGGGAAAATCTCCAAGAACCCCAACTGGTACATATAAAATAAATAATTGTAATAAGATATGATAAGTGATCTAGGAGAAAAGAAGGAAAGGAGAAAAACATCTAAATTTTTAAGATATGTCAAGCACAAAGCTTCTTTACACAGGCCACCTAATTTAATCCTGATAACCACCTATTAGATAAGTATTCTTATCCCCATTTAACATATGAAGAACATTAGGCAAAGATGTTAAACAAATTTCCTGAAGTTAAAACCAGTAAAGTGGAAAAGTAAAAAAATACCCAAGACCCCTTGTCTTTCCACATTCCCGAGGAAATGATCGATTTATTTGGGGAAACAGTAAGATATGACAATCTAGCTAGACCTTAAGGGATAAATCACTACAATCAAGCTTCATACTAGTTGTGGAGTAAACGACAGAAATTCCAGAATCTTCCACCTGGCCTTGTCATTTACATATCAATGGGTATATAACACTGCAGCCTCAGGTGGATCCACGCAAGCGGTGGAGAAAAAATGGCCATTTTTTCCTCTTCTCCATTCCTGGCACATAATTGGTCTGGCACCTGCGAGTCACCAAGGACCAGCCCATAAAGTTCCTCCCCAAAGGGGTGAGCAGGGAAGTAGAGAGTATACTGTGGCTGCAGGAAAACGGAGCACAGAGCTAGCAGGGACTGGGGAAGAAAGAACTTGGGGAGCATGCACACTGCAGCCATGAGGAATGGATGGAGCCATACTGTCCACCAAATTCGAGCAACCTGTGAGCAATAAAAATGGGCAGGTTTCTCCCAACCTGCCCTTCCTCTTGCCTTACTTCAATTTCACCATATTCATAGGGGACTTTGCTCCAGGAGGGGGACCCCTCTTCCCCTCCAGATCTACACTAGTTTAGACAGGATAATTCTGTGAGGGGGCAGTAGACTAGAAGTCAGGGACCCAAGGAGTATGCCACTAACACCAAAGGAACTTTATACACATCTCTCAACTTCTCTGAGCCTCTAAAAGGAGTTGTTTAAATGATCTTTACAGTCTTCTCCATTGTCCAGAATTCTGAATTCTGTGACTCAATGAATAATGATAGCCCAGGAGAACTGTAATTCCATATCTAAGACTCTTAGAGTCTACTGGACCAACAGTACTGCTAACATGACTGCATGAAGAAATGAAGATCCTCTGCCTCCCATTGGAGAACTAGATGGTAAAGATGCACGCCACCAAACTTGCTTTGAACGTGTTTAAAAAGAAATCCTAAGGTTTCATTTTCCCACTTTTCACTTACGGTAACTGGAAGCTATTCAGCAACATGGGAGATATGTACAAACCCAATCTCAAATTTTCAAAAATTATGTTCTCCAAAACCATCTTGAGTCTGCTTCTCTACTACTTTTACCAATAAAACACCCTCCCTTCTATTCTATACTTACCTAAAACTTACCTATACATCCTTCAACATCCCGCCCGTCATATTTCCTGTCCACAACTCTTCCTGAACTGCCTCAGCCTAGTGTTGCCACCTTTCTTCTCAACATGGTTGCCACCTTCCCCTCACTTCTCCACAGAAGTATTTTTGGACTGCTTCCCCTATCCCCATGAAATTTTAATAACACAAATATACTGTATATCTGTTTATGTACTGTGGCCCTTTGAAGGTCTACAAACCATTATAATATTTAAGAGTTTTTCACTCCCCACAAATGAAGAAACAATTTTCACCAGAGACTGTATACCCTGCCTAACCCATACCAATGCCTCCTCTTCTCAGATTCTTTAGCACTTAGTCTGTACCACCTCATTTGGCAACTAATATAACATCTGGTTACAGCTGTTGTTCTACTGACTTATACTGTTTTATTAATGTTTGATAGCCTTTTACTTCTTTAGTGTAATTTCCCAAACTAGATTTTTAGTGTCTATATTTGTCTTCTCTCCCTACAGGTCCCAAAATAGCTCTGGCCAAAATTTTATATATTTACATAGTGGCTAAATTAATCAATGCTGTAAAAGATTTTCAACAAAATATTTAAAAGGATTGTGTGCCTAATTAAAATAAAATAAAAATGTTGAAACTCCACTAAAACATCAATCATATGAAAACTGAAAAGATTAACAGCTTAAAATAATTAGTAAACTGACTTTTAAATATAAACTTACAATAAAATGTGAAAGAGTGCAAATATTTATACATGTTCAACATGTATTTGATTCTTCACAAAAAGAAACAAACAAGGATTACATCTTGATTTTTATATAATTATGTCAGCAGTTTCCAAATAAAACTACAAAAAGCACATGAAACAGAACCACAGTTAAGTATTTCCTGTAATATCACAAGTTAAATGTGATTAAATTGCAAACAGTGTGAAGTATCAATGGGATCACTTACAATCAGTTAATTTTGAAGGAAGTCCATTTGTGTCCATAGAGGGCTTGTTGATAAGAAAAGGTAAGGCAGCCTCACTGGACATTTCACACATTTAATCTTAAATTACAGACTTAGGTAAGGAAAATGAGGATAGGGTGCCTCTTCTGTGGGCACTCACCACTGTACAAGTCTGCAGGAAAGAGAGACATCTCAGTCACAGGGGAGGACGAGGAGCAATGACACTGTGCTCAGGAAAGAACAGCTTTCTGTCCCTCGCAGTGCTAATACGTGTTTGGTCAAAGAAAAGACAGGTACATTCAGAATGCATGGCCTATGCCAAACACCTGCCAGGGACCAAAAACATCGTTTATTCATTTAGTCAAATACTTTTAAGAAGAAGTGGCTTGCTATAATGGATTAAGAGTAAATTTGAAGCCAGATGAGCTTTGACTACTGATACACTCTGTAATCTTTGACAAAATTCCATACAATCTCTCTAAGCATCCATTTCCTTTTCTGTAACATCATTTAACCATACTGTACCTGCACTGCACAAGTGTCTTAAGAATCAAACATAATGAATATGAAGAAATAATTATAGGACCTAGGACTCAGAAGACAATAAATAAATGATGGTCTTTATTATAAAAATGATGGGCTAGGTACTGAGAACATTAAAGTACAACAATCTAGTGGAGAAGACATGCCTGTAAGTAAATGATGACAGCAATGAGCCTTGAGCAGTATGAAAAGGACCTGATGCAAACAGAAAAGAGAAAACAGTTAACTCTGGTACTACTGGTGAGTGTTCTAGAAAGGTAACATCTGAACCAAGCCCAGAAAAATGTGTAAGCCCTCAACAACCAGGCATGACAGGAGAAAGGCAAGACGTTTACAGTAATCACATTTCCAAAAATGCAGAGGAAAGAAAAAGCATGACACTAACAATATATGGCTTAGCATGGCTACTATGAACAGTAAATGTGATGTGTAGTTAAAAAGGGTTAAGTACATAAACAATCCAGATGTTCACCAACAGATGAAAAGGTAAACAAAATGTGACATATGCATACAGTAGATTATCACTCAGTCATAAAAGGGAATGAAATTCTGATAGGTGCTACCACATGGATGCACCTTGAGAACATTATGCTAAAGTGAAATGCTTACCCACAAAATATTGTACAATTCCATTTCTATGAAATATCTGGAATAGGCACATTTACAGAGACAGGGAGTAGATTAAAGGTTACCAAGAGCAGGGCTTGGAGGAGGAGGGAATGGAGAATAACAACTAACAGGTATAAAGTCTTTCTTTGGGGTGATGAAAAATTCTGGAAATAGTGGTAATGGCTGTACAACACTGTGAATGTAATACAATGGCAAATTTTAGGTTACATATTTTATAATAAAAAAAATTTAAGAAGATAAAGTGGACCACAGCAGCATTATTTGTTAGTAGTCAAAAAACAGAAACAACCCAAGTATCTGCCAGTAAGAAAATGGATAAACAGATGTTATATATTTATATAACATACTATTACTCAGTAATAAAAAAAAGCTACGGACATACAAACAAGATGGTTACAAGTGAAGGAAACTAGTCATGAAGAGAGCATGTACTGGATGATTCCATTTACATCAGGTCCAGCAGCACCAAATTTCTACTATTGTGGCAAAAGTGAGCATAATGATTACCTCAGAGAATGGAGGTAAAGGTGGGAGGCTTATTGACTAGAAAAGAGCAAGAGAGAAGCTTCTGTGGCAATGGAAGTCATCCGAATGTGATCTGTGTGGTAGCCACACATGTGGTGTCATAGTACCATATATTTAAGATTTACATATTTCACTGTGCTTAAACGATCCCTCAATAGAATGTTCTTTGTGTAACTCATCCCTCAATAGAATGCTTTAAACACAGACTCAAACAGGAAGGGGAGGAATGGAGGTGCAGTCAGGCAGGAGGAACCAGCTTCTTTAAGGCTTTTGATATGAAGGTGCTTTATCCTGTAGACAAGGCTGAGCATTTAAAGAATATGAAGCCAGGGAAGCTGAACATTATTAAATCTGCTTTTAGAAACTATTACTTTGGTAACAGAGAAGGCCACAATGAAGAAGGGAAAAAGGAAAGGAGAGAAATAAATTAAGAAAATACTTGAAAAGTCTAAACCAGTTGTTCTCAACTAGGGGAACCCTAGTTTGCTTGCATCACCTCTCAGGATTCATCCTTTTTGCCACAAACATTTTACTCATTTATACTGATGAGTTTGCCTTTACTAAGTTCTGTGGCTGCATACCATGAATGGCTATTTATT